ATGTATCTATCTTGCAAAGCAATGAAATGAATAGCTTTGGAGGTCATGAGGTCAAAGGTCATGGGGGTCATTATATATGCAAAAATAGCCTGTGATCGCATTATCATTAGAACCGATGGACGGATTACCATCAAACTCTGGACATGTATGTATCTTGCAAAGCCAATGAACTGAATAGATTTGTGGGGTCATGAGGTTAAAGGTCATTGGGCTCGTTCACATCCAAAATCAGCATGATATTAATGCTGATGATAGATACAGTTAACAACTAAATGATTATACCCCTTGTAAATTTGATGCTTTTTGTGTTTTTCATAAATCAAGAATGACAGATGGACTGGTTGAATTAGGGCTTCTGTTGAATACTTTCAAATGTAAGCTTTAATATGTCACATCTTTAAGAAACACAAAATTGGGACAAATCAATTTTTTTCTTACTTGAAAAGTCACAAAACTTGGTAAGGGTATGAATAATTTAGCTCACTGTAGATACAGTTCAGCTTTACATATGAGAAAGTACAACACACAGACTGATGTAGACAAGAAGTGAGTAGAGGAACTTGAATGTGAATATTTATATTTTGAGAATATGAGTGGATATGTGCAGTGCACCTTCAGTGCGATAATTCCAATGTCATTGATTGGCATGGTGTACTGTAAGTATCAGATCTCCAGGGACCCGTTTCACAAAGCTCTTTTTATGCCTCCATTACGAAGTAACCGGAGGCATTATGTTTTCGGGTTGTCCGTCCGTCCGTACATCCGTCCGTACGTCCCGTTCTCGTGATCGCGTTATCTGAAGAACCAATTGATGGATTCCTGCCAAACTTTGGTCATGTATGTATCTTACAGAGCCGATGAACTGAGTAGATTTTGGGGTCACGAGGTCAAAGGTCAAAGGTCACAGGGCTCATTATGTATGCAAAAACAGCTCGTGATCGCGTTATCTGAAGAACCGATTGATGGATTCCTGCCAAACTTTGGTCATGTATGTATCTTACAGAGCCGATGAACTGATTAGATTTTGGGGTCACGAGGTCAAAGGTCAAAGGTCACAGGGCTCATTATGTATGCAAAAACAGCTTATGATCGCGTTATCTGAAGAACCAATAGATGGATTCCTGCCAAACTTAGGTCATGTTTGTTACTTGCAGAGCCGATGAACTGAGTAGATTTTGGGGTCATCAGGTCAAGGTCAAAGGTCATGCGGCTTATTATGTATTCAAAAATAGCTTGTGATCGCATTATCATTAGAACAGATTAATGGATTCCTGCCAAACTTAGTTTATGTATGTATCTTGCAGAGCCAATGAACTGAGTAGATTCTTGGATCATGAGGTCATAGGTCAAAGGTCATGGGCTCATAATGTATGCAAAAATAGCTTGTGAACGCATTCTCATTAGAACTGACAGGGATTACTATTTAACTCGGGACATCTTGCAGAGCCAATGAACTGAGTAGATTTTAGGGTCATGAGGTCAAAGATCAAAGGGTCATATATGTATATGAGAAATTGCTTGTAATCACGATATTCTGAGAACCTGTTAATGGATTACAATTGAACTTGAAATTGACAAATTTCTTCTGTTTTGGTTTGTTAAATTGCTCTATGACGGAGGCATCATTTCGACTGCGCGCAGTTGAAGTTCCATCTAGTTTCAATAACAAATGATAAAAATCAGTGACAAATCTGCTTATAACCAATCAGAAGCAAGGATTTCAGTAGCTTATAACAAAAACTGTCATTTGTCACTGATGGCAAGTTTTGTGAAACAGGGCCCAGGTTACATTGCAATTTTGTTTGTTTCTCATGTCCTAGCAGGGATGCAAACCTAGAGGAAGAGGACCAGGACACTGGGACCTTCGTCAATCTTTTATCGTTTCCTGATGTGTTCATGACGAAGAAGAAAGACCAACCGTCCTTTCGCAAAGTACCACCAAGTGAAATACAAATTTTGCATGGGTTATAAGCACCAGTACAACTGTCTTTTTTATGATTTTTAGTTGTCCTTGTAAGAATTCAGGGACCCGTTTCACAAAGCCTTTTTTCAATGACAAAGGACTAAAATCAGTGACAAATCTGCTGATAACCATTCAGAAGCAAGGATTGCAGTAGCTTATAACTGAAACTGTCATTTGTCACTGATGACAAGTTTTGTGAAACGCCCCCTAGGTTGATGTGAATTTGATCAATACCTGAAAAGACTAAGAGTTTATCATTTCTAGCCAGTTAAAAAAGGGCAAAAAATACTCTATATATCTGGGACACCCAGTAATTGCCACAGGAATGCATTCAGGGCCTGGCAAGTTATTTTCAGAGCATAGTTTAGACTTTTTTGTGTGTGTACAAAATAGCTCATTCTAGGTGATTTTCAGGCCCTCTGATCAATTCTAACTGGCATCCTTGTTGTCATACAAACAAGGATTTTGTGTGTGTGGAAAAGGAGGATTACGCTTCCTTGAATTTGAATAGGTTTCAAATAATGAAGTAGATGTGATTTTATATGTTTGTAGATCATTTAATTATTATTTTAGATGATGCTGAAAAGACAGATTACATGTTCCTCTGGTGCTGTTTAATGATACATGTATAATAGAAGTGTATACAAGTAGATATTTTTGTAATGCTTTTTAATATATGAAGGAAAGAATCATGAATGAAAACGATTATATTTAACTGGAATTTAGCATTTTAATTGTATGATTTTATTTTTTGTCAACTTATTACAAAAATATAATAGGTGGTGAATGATTTGGTAAAAAGAAAGAAGAAAATAAATAATGGGAGGAAAAAGAATGTTCAGAAAGAAATTAGGAGAAAAGAGTAGTAGTGCACGTACAGAATGTCTGTCACACACTGAAAACACTGCCTAACTTGAAAATCAAACTATTTACAACTCAAGAATTATAGACTTTCAAAGCTGGTAGGGGGCTTCGTTTTTTCACACAAAATAAGTAAATATTTTCAGCCAGGTATGTGTGAATTTTCAATTTTTACGAAAATATTTTACAATGTTTTTAAAAATATATACCACTTTCGAGTGCAGTGCCTTGTGCCTGTAGTGTCACCCCTGACAAAATTAAAAATGGACTTTCTTCATATGTTCCATTTAATGTAGACCGATGACCTTACCATACAGGTTAGCTGTGACCTTTCTCATGGACGTACATTGATATTAACTTTGCAGTATTTTTTCGTTTGGGAGATAGACCAAATCTACAAAATTTCAGAGAATGCTCCAAAAAGCGTTAAATAGTCATTGTTTTTTTGATAGCCACCAATTTTACATGCATGTAAAATTGGGAAAAGGTAATTTTTACCTTATTTTTCCATTATATGGCAGATTTTTTTCCGGTTAATAATCAATATTGTTTTTGTTTTGTTTTCTCAAGAACCGCTTACTCGATCTTAAAAATGTTAGTAGCAATATAAAGGATTCAATGATATCTTTCATACAAAACCAAAATGTTGTTTGATGTATCCTTATTTTGGGGGTGCTCTACCTAATAGTTGGAACATGGGTTTGGAGGAAGAGAGAAGGACAGGAAAAAACGATTTTGGAAAGTAAAGAGGAGTTCATATACCAAAGTGAAGAGGATAAGAATTGAGAGTTGAGAGTGAAGAGGAAAATACAAGAAAGAGGACTTACAAGGAGTAAGGAGGGTGAGACAAGAAAGATGAGTTTGGGAAGTGAAACAAAGGGGAGAAAAGAAAGGATTCGGAAAGGAAGGAGCTAGGAGTGAAAGAGAAGAAGGTTAAAGAGAGGAGTTGCAGGAGGAAAGAGGGTATAACAAAATTTAGAAGGTGAAAAGACCATATATTATAAAGGGGTTGGTCTGAAAGAGAAATTAAGGAACGAGAGTAAGAGGAGAATGAAAGAAAAAAAAAAAAAAAAAAACGTAAGAGAAGAAATAAGGGCAGTTCAATATAGGGAAATTGATTAAAAAGTATCGAATGTTAAGAAAAGAAAATGTGAGCACGGTAAACGATGGATTGTCTTTTTCTTCATCTGCAGTCTGAGGCTCTTTCCTGCTCGCCTCTGTTCTAGAAACCACTCGTTCTGTCTCCATCTTTATGTCTACCTTACTCTTTCTTATACACTACATGCATCTTCCCCTTCTCGCTTTCTTTCCATTCCCAAACTCGCCTTACCCTTCCCTTTTTCCTCCCTTTATATCCATCCTCCTTAATCTCTTTTATCTGTAATTCCTTCCAAATAGACTCTACAGAGGGATCAGACCGAAGTTGCAAAATAACCCGCTATTTTAACTAGCCTGGTCTCAAATTAGCCAGCTAATTTGTGTTTTTATCATCCCGCAGATGCAATTAGCGGACTATTTGGTCGAGAAAATATCCCGAGAAATCTTGGTCTTGTTTCCCAAATGGCCCTTTGACAAAAGACTTAACTCCGTTTGGTTGACGATCAGCCATGCGTCAATTCTTTCGTCTTCTTTCTTTGTGCATGGCTGATCGTCAACGAAACGGAGTTAAGTCTTTTGTCAACTTTGTTTGTTGCTACGACAGTCAGCCAGTGTAAACAAATTCGTTTGATCAAATTATGGAAATGCAAGCATTACTTTAAACAAACAGAGCATTTATTATTCCTGGCTTATTTTTTCCTGATTGAGGTGTCATATGAAAGGGCAGAAACGGAACTTTCTGGAAATGTGATCACTTATGCGTGAAATATACATCATATGAGTTCCATCAAATGAAAGAGGAGGATCTAATAATTGTGATCTTTTTTCTGACGGGACGCACTGTATTTGGGAAATAGCGGGCTAATTTCGGGCTAATTTGCTCCCGTCCGAACTAGTTTGTGATAAGCGCATCGGTTTGGTGAAGACGCAATTTCGAGCTTCGGGAAAACAGCAGATTATTTTGCAACTTCGGTCTGATGAGGATAGGCGTGATGTATTTCCAAAAAGTTGTTATCTCATAGCACTCTCCTTTAATGTGATTGTATACCTTCTACCAACCAAACAGTAGAATCAATGATAGGCCTATATATAGGATTTTATTGAAATCAAAACACATCAAAAACCAAGAGCAAACAGTCCGGAGACTGACACCTAGCTGTTTTGGGTACAGAATAAAAATTAAATTAAATAATACATAATAAAATTGCTATATTCTTCTTGCATTAATAATGGGTCATATCGTTAACCTTTATCATAATAGTACCTTTGTATACTTATGACAATATTATAACACTTCAGTATTCTAATCATTCTATTTCATGTGCCACGTACTATCGACCCAAAGTTAATAATCCCGCTTTCATTTAATGCCCTTTGCACACGAGACGCCATTTGCCTGACGAAGGATGGCTACACGAGTGACTCTTGCGGTTTTGATTGATTGATTTTATTCGCCAAGCTTCCAACATATATTACAATATACAAGAATAACAGATCAAAATCAAGTCAGCTTGAACAGGATAACCCACGAAAGCTCCAGAGTCTATTTCCAGTGGGGTTTTGGGTACACCATGTACGAGTGATATCGTAAAAGACGTGAATGAAAAAGAAAAAAAATAATAATACTCTTTTAAAGTCCACTCCAAATTTTATTAAGTTAAACCGAAAATGGAAATTCTTTTTGCCCAATTGATCGTGAACCCGGCAGCCACTGAGCAGCGCCAGATCGACGTTGCTCTAGAACGCGAAACAAGGTAGCAGCAATTCCCATCTTTTAACGTCTTTTAAATAATATTTAAAAAAAAACATTACTTTGGATTACTGGCGCGTGCCTCATTCAGTAGGTGATGACGTAATCGAAATGACACCTCATGCGCAAAGGTATACATTTAGAATTCATCCATATTGCATATTAATTAATACGAACATGAATTCCACCACCATTCATCCCAATCTGGCACCTTTCGATTTGTGGTTACGTCAGTACCTATCTTCATTTCGTCCTCATGCATTCGCAGGAAAATGGGACAAATGTTTTCTGTCGCGAAAAGATCCGCCATTTTGATACTGACCACTGTGCCAAGTTTCTTCCAATCGAAAAACCGGTTGTAGAGTTCATCGTTACCGTCTAGAAGTTTGATGTAGTCTGCTAGCTCGTGCACGGAAGTGAAATCATTGACGTGGATAAAAGAGTTCGGAGGCCCGACCCGCTCGTAATCCTCTCGGGCTGGTCCGTCCACGATGGGCACCGTTCCACTTGCTAGGCTTACGAAAAACTGTTCAGTGATGAAATCGCGACATCGGCTGATGTCCAAGGCAAGGGAAAACTTGTACGATCTGACTTTCTCCTCGAATCCCTCTGACTCGGTGCATGGTTTGGAGTCAATGCATGCTTTATACGTGTCGATTGGTACGAATTCTTGTAATTCTTTGATGAAGTTGCCGCGCTGCCAAGTCGCGAACTGGTAGTCTGCAGCTGGTCCGATCACGATATTCTTTTTTTTCGTTGCCCAATTTCGATCGTCGTCTGCTCGTACTTCGGGTCTCGTTTCATCATAGTGACCAAACTCTACAAGGAAATCGGAACCTTGTCGATATGTCATGATGTAGTCGTAAGAGTCATTGTAGTATTTCATAGGTGGGATAACACCAGGGCTGATCATCGAAGGGCTCTCTCGGCTGAAGAAGACCCACTTTTGTCCCCGCGGACGCGCAGAATGCATCTTCTTCCAGCTCCACTTCGCCTCAGGAAAGAAAACCACTCCATCGCTCACTTTGGTCGTGGAGATGTTGGTGTTAGCGATTATGGATGCTTCGCACGGCACGCCTGGGCAGTGGAATCGAATGGCGTCATCTGAATATCCGTTGACATTGCTGTTTGTCCAGAACTGCAGTTGCCTGGTGCACTTCGATGTCAGCACTGGTCTTTGGAAAAATGAATAGGATAGGATGTCGTCAGAGTGAATGTCTTTCGGCCGGGCTTTCGGCCTCCTAATTGGCTCGGTGGCCCAGATGACCAAACACCCTACGGTGGAGAGACAGATCATCCCCAGCGCAATGAACCTCCTAAGGGATATCGGCCTCATTTCGCGTTGAAATAGGCCGAAGCCGCCTATGAGAAGAACTGAGCAATTTAAAGAGTAAAAATGTGAGGATCTTTCCCTTCCTTTCCACACCACAGCCGCAGTCTAGATGAGAGTGAAGGATGAAGAAAGAAAAGAATACATTTGTTAATCACAAGATACACATTCAACACGGTCGCAACGACTTTTAGTCATCAGGCGCGTACGCGGGAATTTTTCAAGGGGGGGGGGGGGGGTTAAAATTTAAAATCACGCCGAAAATTTCGCAACGAGTCAGCCAGCCGCTGAATAAGCGGGAGGGGGGGGGGGGGGGGGGGGAAGAGGCACATTTTTGTTTTTGTCCCAAAATTTGGTCGATCGATATTTTGTTTCGGTGGGGGGGGGGGGGGGGGGGGTAAAGATTAGGTTTCTGGGGTCACCCATTATCTTTTTTTTAATTTTTTTATTAAACAAAATCGCAAGGGGAGGGGGGATCACTCCAAAACACACATAAACAAAGTCAAAGGAGGGGGGGGGGTCAACCCCAAAACCTCCCCCCTGCGTACGCGCCTGCTTGCCATACATTGTTATATTCCTTCGCTCCAGGGATCTCGAGGCCGCAGAGAGGAAGAAATTGCATCATGACTTGTCTGGGAAAAAATCCTTCACACGGTTCCCTTATACTCTTGCTATACATTGCGTCCCAGAAAAAAAACGTTTTATCATAACTTAATCACAATTTTCATTGATAAATGACACATATATTTGTAAAGCTTAGAAAGAGAATTAAACTATCTACATTTTGATACCAATTTTAACGAATTTAAGATTAATTAACATCGCAAATTTAAGTAAAATGAATGAAAAACATGATTTTTTTTTTTGTTGGTGATTTTTTTCGAAAACCATTATTTTCCATGTATCAAAATCGGAGAGGTGCATTTTTTCGTAACTTTTCAGGAATTTGCCCATGTACAAGGACACTATCCTGTGTAAAGGGGAGATTTACAATCTGTTCAATAAAAAGTTATATCACTCCAAAGTTATTGATTTGATTTCCACAAAAAACAATAATTTTGCCCACATGAGTATTAACTGTCATATACGTGTTTTAGTGTATTGAGGACCTGTTTGGTGTGTTTACATTTTTAGGTAAAACCTCTAATCACCGTGGATTGGTGTCAAAAGATGGATAATTCAAATAACTTCAAGTTGATATCAATTCCATTGAGTTATGTAGTGTGTGAAGTACATGTATACATATTGAGCCAATTAAAAGGGTGCTTTTTTGTAAATATTTTGTTCGGGCCCTTTAAGTTTGGCCAGTATCTCGGTACATAAACTAAACAAAAGTGATTGGACATTTAGTAGTGCAGAAAGTTCAAAGGATTTGGAGCGCTGAGTCACTGAGTGTAATTGATAAATATTTCTTCTGTACTCTGGGATGTTTCAGGAAATGTGGGCATTGGCAGTTGACATTTATATTTGTTGATGTACATTGTACTCTTACAACTTCCTCTTTTACTTAATTTCTTCATGTTTCTCCTCTCCGTTTTTGTGACTTCATGTTATCTTCTGTTTTCTTATTTTTTGCTGCCCAAGCAATCTTACCATATACATTTCAATATTGACAAATCAGTTGTAACTGTATTTTATGTTTAACCCATTCTATTCGAAAAATAGACTTTCTATTTTAGTCGAAAAAAATTGACTGATTTTCATTAAAATGGGTGCTTAATATGTTGATAAAATGTACTCCAATTGTTTCAATTTTCAAAACAAAATTTAAAAAAGTAATCACAAAGTGCGGCAGCTTTATTGCATTGCCCAAGTTATTGAATTGCAAGCTCGGCTTCTGCCGAACCTGCTAGAGCACGCCTGCCAAGATTTGGCTTCTGCCGAACCTGCCAGAGCACGCTGCCAAGGTTCGGCTTCTGCCGAACCTGCTAGAGCATGCTGCCAAGGTTTGGCTTCTGCCGAACCTGCCAGAGCACGCTGCCAAGGTTTTGCTTCTGTCAATCCTGCCAGAGCACGCTGCCAAGGTTCGGCTTCTGCCGAACCTGCCAGAGCAAGCTACAAGGTTTGGCTTCTGCCGAACCTGCCAGAGCACGCTGCTAAGGTTCACGCTGCCAAAGTTCGGCTCCTGCCGATACTGCCAGAGCACGCTGCCAAGGTTCGGCTGCTGCCGAACCTGCCAGAGCATGCCGCCAAATTTTGGCTTCTGCCGAACCTGCCAGAGCACCCTGCCAAGGTTCGGCTTTTGCCGAACCTGCCAGAGCACGCTGCCAAGGTTCGGCTTCTGCTGAACCTGCCAGAGTAGGCCGTCAAAGTTTGGCTTCTGCCGAACCTGCCAGAGCATACCGCCAAAGTTCGGCTTCTGCCGAACCTGCCAGAGCAGGCCGCTAAAGTTCGGCTTCTGCCGAACCTGCCAGAGCACGCTGCCATTAAGGTTTAAACGTACATAGGACTCAAGGTTTCAGATTTAAAAAGGACCAAAGTGTGTCAAGTTGCATTTTACACATTCCTGCATCCATGGGCATTCATATAGCATCATTCTTTCAGAGGAAGATAGCTGCCTTAATGGGGAGCTTCTCATCTTCCAAATTCTTGAACTGAAAAATGTCTCAAACAAGTATTCACTGTACTATCTGGCTGGAAGAATACATTTGAAGCAGATCAGAGGTGTATTTTGTTTGCCCTATGTCTACACCAAGAAAGAGTTATTTTATCCCACTGTTGGACAAGCAGAATTCTACAAGCTGTGGACGCAATTATTCTTCTGGCATGTAAAACTGAAAAAGGCGAGTATGATCTTGAATAATGTTTTCATTAAGATATTGATATTTAGGTCTACAAACATACAAGAGAGCTAGAGATTTTTGTGAGTGTGTGCCCTTTTAAATTTTCCATGTCTACATGCACTGTACGTCAGGCGCGGATCCAGGATTTCTTAGGGGAGGGGGCCCAACTTTTTTTTTTTTTTGCTCCCGAAAATTTGAAAAACGCGCCGGCCAAAAATTCGCTCAGTGGGAGGGGGGGGGGGGGGGGGGGGGGGGGGGGGTAGTGAGCACATTTTTTTTTTTTTGGATCCTCAAAAAAAATTCAATTTGCACCCCCCCCCCCTTGAGCGCCAGGGGGGGGGGGGGCCCAACCCCCAAAAAAGGTAAAAATCACGTGATTTTACATGATTTTTTTTTCTCAAGGGGGGGGGGGGGGGGCCCGGGCCCCCCCCCCCCCCTGGATCCGCCACTGCTGTACGTCTATCTTTCTATTTCATGCAATTTTGAATGTTAACTTACTTTGGAAGATCTGCACTATGTTCTTCTCTCAGCTCTTCTGTCAAGAAATTTAATACTTAAGTTACTTCAATACAAAAATAACTTGCAGAACTTCCCCCATAAACAGCCATCTGCACTGTACTTTTACATGTATGTCTGACCATGGTCTGACACATATATTACAAATGTCAGTGACCAATCCCCCAATGTGTATTGTCTGACCCTAGGGGTCAGACAGGTCAGGGGGTAACAGGCGCGGATCCAGGATTTCTTAGGGGAGGGGGCCCAACTTTTTTTTTTTTTGCTCCCGAAAATTTGAAAATCGCGCCGGCCGAAAAGTCGCTCAGTGGAGGGGTGGGTGGGGGGGGGGGGGGGGGGGGGGGGGGGGGTTAGTGAGCACATTTTTTTTTTTTTTTTTGGTCCTCGAAAATTTTAAAATTTGCACCCCCCCCCCCCCCCCCCCCTTGAGCGCCAGGGGGGAGGGGCCCAACCCCCCAAAAAGGTAAAAATCGCGTGATTTTACATGATTTTTTCTCAAAGAGGGGGCCCGGGCCCCCAGGCCCCTCCCTGGAACCGCCACTGGGGGGTAATTACCTAAACATTGCTGGACCAGCTAGAAGTTCCCATGGAATACACACATATACAGTAAGGTACATGTACATTGCGAATAGGCATAGTGTTGCACAAGCCCTTCAGGTCATCTTAAAGGGGCAAATACAATATCAACAGAAATAATCATTAATGGACATGGATGTTATTTTGCCCCTACAGTCAATACAGACATCTATGTTCATACATTCAGTAGACTATTCCTTTCCAAGTTAATATCAAGTAGACAAATATAATTTCAGGACAGATGCCTGATATCATTTGTTACTTCCTACCATCACACATGGCCATACAAATTAATGCAGTCCATGCTTTTGATTTTCCCCAGGATTGAAAGGATCTTATACAAGAAACGGTATGATGCGAGGAGGAATATGGGGAAAATACTATCATAGATGGCATAATTGGATCAGTCCAAAACTAATCTACCAATAAAGCGAGTGAGTTTGACATTAAACAACCCTCTTATGAAGATGCTACATTAAAGTTTAAAGGGAAATCCTACCTTCATAGCAACTTGCTCCGGGGAAAAGGGAATAATCATAGGAGCAGATTGGTGAAATTTTCAACGAAATCGGACAAATAATACGATAGCTATGAATTTCTGAAAGTTGTAAATTTAATAAATGCAATCACTTTACATATGGGAGTTTCAAATTGGCTGGATCGGTAATGCCACTATGACATAGTGCCGGTACAACCCTGTCATTTGTTCCAATACCAAACATAAAATCTAATTGTTCAGAATTTATGATAGAGATTTCTTGTTTATTGCAGGACCCCTAACATATCATACATGCAATCCATATATATTTTGAATATTATCCAGAGTGAAAAGGTGTTTAGGAGAACACTGGAAATTAATGATATTTAGCGTACAACAAATGGGGAAAGTTTTCAGGTAATACGTCACAGTCGAATGACTATAGTTTGCCAATTTGAGATTCCCTTATGTGTAGTGATTACACATAGAATTGAATTGAATCGAACATTCCATCTCATTATGTAACGGCAGCCACGTCCTTAATACTGGACACAATGAATGTACTTGATTCTTCGCTCCAGGGACCTCGAGGATTAGAAGAAGAAAAATCCTTCACACCGTTCCCATACTCTTGCTATATAGTGCGCCCCAGAAAAGACGAAACCGAGAAGTATCAATGCTTTATCATAACTTAATCAAAATTGTAATTAATAAATGACACATATTTGTAAAGCTTAGAAAGAAAATTAAATTATCTACATTTTTATACCAATTTTAACGAATTTAGGATAAATTAACATCGCAAATTTAAGTAAATGAAAAACATGATTTTTTTTTTTTGGTGATTTTTTTTCGAAATATTGAATTTTATCAAAAACCATTATTTTCCATATATCAAAAATCGGAGAGGTGCATTTTTTCGTAACTTTTCAGGAATTTGCCCATGTACAAGGACACTATCCTGTGTAAAGGGGAGGTTTATAATCTATTCAATAAAAAGTTATATCAATCCAAAGTTAATGATTTGATTTCCACAAAAAAAAAAAATTGCCCTCATGTGTATTAACTGTATGCATAAACATGTATTAGTGTATTTGAACTGTATGCATAAACGTGTATTAGTGTAAATTTGTTTGGTGTGTTTATATCGAGTTTTAAAGATAACTTTTTAGTAAAACCTCTAATCACCATGGATTTGGTGTCAAAAGATGGATAATTAAAATATCTTCAAGTTGATATCAATTTTAAAACGTAGTGTGTGAAACATTTAGTACATATATACATTTTGAGCCAAAAAGGTGCTTTTTTGTACAAATTTTGTTCCCTCTAATTTTGGCCAATATCTTCGAATATTAACTCAACAAAAAGTGATTGAACATAGTATTGCAGAAAGTTCAAAGGATATGGAGTGCTGAGTCACTGAGTGTAATTGATAAGTACTTCTTCTGTACTCGGGGGTGTTTCAGGAAATGTGAGCATTGGCAGTTGCCCCCCCCCCCCACCCCACCCGCCTTTATACTCTGTGATGTTTTAAAAAATGTGGGCATCATGGGCAGCTGTCCCCCCCCCCCCACCACACCCCCGTATGTCTTAATATATGTGAGTACCCCCCCCCCCCCCTGGGGATGAGTAATGAGTATGCATTAACATTTTACCTTGATTTACCTTGATTTACCTTGATGTTGGGCTTCAAGTATAATTACTTATATGCCCCTCTGCAGCAGGATTAATGTCTGTATGTACTGGGGATTGCGCCTACGTCGGAGCTCCGGACAATGCAATAGCAAGGAAACATTTCTTTAGGGTTGTACATGTCATATTTAGCTCTCCATACTTTTTCCAGGTTGGATTTGAATGAGTTTACAGATGGGCTATCAATTACATAAGCTGGAAGCGCATTCCATAAATTGACGACTCGCTGTGAAAACGATCCCATTCGGATAGAAGTGAAGGCTCTAACTTTTGATAGTTTGAAGCTGTGGCCACGTGTTCTGTCATTCAAAGGTCTCAGAAAGAATTGGTTGGGGTCACTGCGGTCAATCCCATGGAAAAGTCTATATGTTTGTATCATATCCGCTCTGTGACGACGGTATGCAAGTGTGGGCAATTTCAAATGTCTAAGCCGGTCAGAATATTCCAAGTCACGAATAGATAGAAGAATTTTTGTCATCCTGCGTTGCACTCTCTCCAGCTTTAGATGGTCTCTCTTGAGAACAGGGTGCCACACACTGGAGCAGTATTCTAAGGATGGCCTTATTAAAGACTTGTAGAGGTGTACAAGGCCCGATTCATCCAAGAATGAAAAGGTGCGGCGAATCAGGCCAAGCTTCCTGTTCGCAGAGGATGCAACTCTGTTTACATGCGCTGAAAACTTTAAGTTGTTGTCGAAGGATACTCCCAGATCAGTCTCTAGAACCACAGATGTCAAAATTGATGAGTTGAGGTTATAGTTGACATTAGGGTTAGACTTCCCAAGATGCATCACCTTTGTCTTTGACTCATTTACGGGGAGTTGCCACTTGTCCGTCCACTTTGCAAGGAGATCTAGATCATGTTGTAATGCAGCACTATCTTCTAGTGACTTCACAGGAGAGTACAGCTTAGTGTCGTCTGCAAAGAGTTTGACTGTAGATGATACGGACGTAGATAATGAATCTGGAATGTCGTTAATGAAGATCGTAAATAATACTGGACCGAGGACGCTTCCTTGCGGAATACCACTTGTGACCAGGCAGGAAGAGGATTTGGAGCCATTCACTATCACTTGTTGAGAGCGATCAGATAGGAAGTTGGAGATCCATTTCCACACTTTTCCTCGGATTCCATAAGCCTGTAATTTCTTCATCAGTCTGGCATGAGGTACACTGTCAAAAGCTTTCCTGTAGTCCAGGTAAATGCAGTCAATGTTGTTACCTGTATCCAAGTACTTGGTCCAATCATTTGTCACTTCTAGTAGCTGGGTAGAACATGAGTGACCCTTTCTAAAACCATGTTGATGTTTGGTGATTAGATCATTAGACTCCAAATGCTCTACAATTTCATCCCTTACCACAGTCTCCATGATCTTGCCAATTACACTTGTGAGGCTTATTGGCCTGTAATTTCCTGGGTCAGATTTTTTGCCTTTCTTGAATAATGGTACAACATTCGCTGACTTCCAAGATTTCGGGACACATCCAGTTGACATAGATTCATTAAATATTTCAGCTAGACAATCAATAACGTGAAGCTTTAATTCTTTTAGAATTCGAATGTGTATTCCATCTGGGCCAGCAGATTTAGTTTGGTCCATCTTCTCAATCAAGAGATGAATCTTCTCTCTATGTATAATCATGTCCTCTAAGCAAGCTGAGTAATCTCTTCCTTGAAGCTCAGGAATGTTGTTGAGGTTTTCCTTCGTAAAAACTGAGCAGAAGTAATTGTTGAGTAACTCAGCTTTCTCATTATCAGATTCTGCAATGGAAACCATCAGGCTTACATAAGTTCTCTATTGCACTTTTGACTTTCAACTTGCTTTGAATGTACTTCCAGACGCTCTTTGGATTCTTCTTTACATCCTTCGAAATCTTGAGTTCAAATCCTCCCTTAGCAGATCTGGTGGCACTGGTTGCTAGGTTTCTGACAGCATTATACTCCTCCCTTGTTTGGTTGACAGTGACAGGATTAATAGGTATCTTCCGTCTAGCTCTCAGATGCTTATTCCAAGCTGAATGTTTCCTCCTTACCGCCTTCTTAACCTCACTATTCATCCACTGTGGTCTGGCTTTCAATCCGGGAAATCAAGGTAAGTAGGCCCGACACCTTGTACTTAAAGGCATCGTTTAACAATGTTAGATCTGAGATACACGACCCTACGCATTATCAGTATCTGTGATATGGTGTAATATTGAAGCCCTAAAAGAATTGCGCATCAAAATGATCAAGAAGTGCCTCAAAAAAGTAAAAGTCTTTGAGTGACCGGTTTTACCACACGCGTTATCCCCAATAGACTGTAGTGTTATGAAAACCGTTAGGAAAACGAAAAATTTGAATTTGATTTCCAATCATAAATATCTTGATAATCAGACAGGCGATCGGCTTAATTGTGAAAGTCATGGGGTTTTCTGACTAACCTTAATGTTTATACATGTAATTATCATTGCAGCATAAGCCAAATCCAGGATTTTGTTTCAGAATCTGAGACAAAGTTACCGGCTCCCTTTAACACATGAGAGTTATGGGTTTTATTGAAGATGATTTTTTTGTGAGTTTTTTTTTTATTTCACTGGTTCCACAATCAATCTATTGCAGGATAAACAATCTAGAATGAATTATACAATATATCCACGTTCTCTCGACATACGATTCCCATACCAGAGCTCAAGTTTAGCTTGAACTCAGATGCTATGGCACATATAGGAGCATCACTATCCTGGTTGTGTAGTAAAAGCTGTGCTTTTGATTCTCAACATTTCAAACACCACTGTACAAAACTCAAATGATTTCACTCAAAATCGGTACTTTAGTGACAATTGATGACACCTAAATAGCAGTAAAATACATTTTTTTCAACTTACTGATGTTAAAAAGAATAATTTAAAAATTAAAATTGTAAGTCTAGTGTCAAACTTTGCTTACAGCTGCATCGACATGATTGTGTAGAGTCTATCCGAAATTGTGTGGTGTGTATATTTGTGTATAGACTTCTAGGTCCCTGCCTCACAGCATGTATGCAGTGCTAGAGGTCAATATGCATTAGCATTGACTATCTCCCTATATATGCTTTGCTGGAGTGTGCTATGGCAGAAACATTAGTGTGGTGCATTCATTCCAACTCCCTGATTATACTAAACGAAAAAAAAGGTTAATAGTGTTCTGACTTAAACACAGTCAACACAATGCATTACTGATACCACCTATACTTGAAAAAGTTATAAGTATGAAGTCTCTAGTTGCATGGTTTTCAAACTGCTTATACCATAATTAAAAGCTCACCTTCTCACTGCATGGCGACGTAAACAGCTGATGATTTTATGACCACCAAAGTACAAAAAATGTCTCAATATCCTGCCATCATTATCATTCTGATAGTAAACTTTCAACTCATCTTGCTCAGGCCACGGCCGCGACTCTACCTTAACCACAATTTTATTCATTCCTTCTCTTAAACCTAAATGCCAATTTACCTTTGTTGTGTACGTGGGTAAAGAAAAGCTTTCGATCGAGTTGTGTTGTTGTTGTTTTTTGTTGTAATGGCAATCAGTCAAGCCCGACTATTATCACCAACGCCTTTCTTTTTGATCGAGGCTTTCGACCGTCCTTTTCACTTTTGTCGCTTCATCATTACGTAACTTAGCGAACGCATGAGGAAGCATTCGTACTAGTCGATATATTACAATATACCACGCGTGCAATATACAGTACACGTATACACTGTAAAAAATAATAGTCTAAATAACTCAATAAAATTGAGGAAAAGAATTGCCTTATTTTTATTAAGTAAATATTACCTACGGCATCTTAAGTAGAATTTACGTATTTTGCTGAATACATTTTTACTCAGTTAAATCGAGTTACATTAACGTAAATAATTTAAGTATTGTAATCATTTTAGATAATTAAAAAAAAGCTATGATGGGATTACATATGGCACGATTTGGTACCCATCTAATCTAACAAGTAACATCCACTAATCATTCACTTCTTCTATTTAAGATTTAACCGTATATATATATATATCTACCACCATCACAAACTATTACATACGCTTCAAATCGACACATATTGAAAGGCTCCAAATTTTATATATACTTGATCGTAGCATCTTAAAAGGAAAATTGGTTAACAATTTCCTGAAATATCAAATTTTATTTGTTTTGGACTGGGTAACAATTAAAAATTGTCTTGTCTTTGCTTAGCCATTTTAAATGAATTAGTAAATGTTTTAAAGTCCTTAAATTTTCATTTAATCACAAAAAAGAATTGTTTTATTTAAAAAAAGAGTTTAATTTGGTCTTAATGAATATTCATAAATTATGTAAATATTTCTATTACGCACTGCATCGGTCCTTACTTTAAAAAGATAACAATAATCAACATAAATTGTTTGAGTAATACGTATAATTTCTGATTTTTAGTTAAAATTACTAAATTAATACAAGCTGAAATTACTTAAAGTTCTTATGTATTTTATTTTACTTAAATATTCCACGTATGCCTCTACTAAATTGAAAGTTTGAGTTAGCAAGACTTAAATTTAGTGCGTAAGTGGCAAAACTAATGTTTACAAGTAAATTCTACATGGAAAAAATACGTAAAAATTACCAATGAACAAACAGTGTACAGAATTATCGTTGGCATTGCTAAACTTTCAAATGGAGGACCTAATAAGTAGTTTCTTTTATTTATTGTTTAATGTTGCTTGTATGTTTTCTTTGGAACATATCATACTTGCATCTCTCCTCTCTGAAGCGACACGTTAATTGTAAAACCATTTCATTTTCCCCTGTTCATCCTCCGTGTTCGTCATAATGCACCCCGGCAAAAATATGCATTTTCATCTTGAAGAGATTTTAAATGAATGACACATATAGTCTAAGCTATCTAGTCCCATTCGTAGTCGCCCATTTCAGTACATCTGATGACTATGGAGCTTGAATCAGATCAACATCAAACAAAATATCATTGTATAATTATGTCAACGATTCACAATTATTCCGGATATAATCCATTATTACTTGGTAATTAGGTATATATACATACTTTGGAAAGGTCTCAATGTCTCGTTTCCTTTTTAAAATTTTAAATGAAGGTACTATTTAAGAGGGGGATACAGCAGTATCTGTTGATTTATTGATTTATGTTATTTTCTGTATTTATATCTAATTCATTTGATTTACATAACACGTATATTTTCATTATTTATACGTCTCTTCTTTTGCTTTTTGTGTTCCTGTGATGGTGGCAAGAAAATATTTTCAACTGAATGAGCAGTAATAGCAGGCTTGACGGACGGCCATGGGTTTTGTACACGAATGTGTTCGTACCTATACTATTTCTAATTGACTCGTATAAATTATACAACAGTTTTGACAGTTTTTTTTATTTGCCTCTATAGTGTTTTTTTTCGAGCAAAAACACGTCACGTTTCAATGGGATTTGACATTTTGAATTTTACTCGTGCGTTTTTAATGGAATTTTTGACGTTTTGAATATTTGATATGTAGGCCTATTTGCTTGTAGGACTTAGATTTTTTTTAACCGAAAAAAAAGTGACTTATAACACGTGTGTCTATGGAAAATTGACTCTTTGACTTTCTTTCTATACTTCGTGTTTGACTTTCAGAGGAATAAAAACACCGTTGGAGGTTGGACAATATCTATTGTTCGATCCTTGAACTAAGAGAAGGAACAAAGGGTATGTGTATTTACCCATACTATGATCCTTGCACAAAGTCATACGGTATGCAGATGATACTACTATGGGTGCGTTCAAGCGATTTTTTGAAGGTAGAATCACAAACATACTGCGGGAGAGCGTTCAAGCGATTTTCATCAACGCTGATTCTAGCTCATTTTAAGCCCAGCCACTGCGCATCACACTGCGCGCAGTTTGACCCAGGTAAAGGTCAACTTCGGCGCGCGCTTTCTGAAATTGTTTATGGCCGACTGTCGGCTGCTGTTTTAAAACAAAGAATAGCACAAGGAAAGAAAGAAAGAAAAAGTTGAAGAAAGATTAAAACAAGGAATACCATAAGAGAAAGTGATAGAAGGAAGAACAAAGAATAAAAAAAGGAGGGACAAAAAGAGAAAGTTGAAGAATGATTAAAACAAAGAATAACATAAGACTCAGGAGATAGAAGGAAGAAACAAAGAATAACATAAGGAAAGACAGAAAGAGAAGGTGATAGAAGGAAGAAACAAAGAATAACACAAGGAAAGACAGAAAGAGAAAGTGATAGAATGATTAAAAATACTTGAGAATAACATAAGAGAAGGAGATATAAGGAAGAAATAAGAAATAATATAAGGAAAGACAGAATTAAGAAAAGGTGATATAGCAGGAAAAAACAAAGAATAACATGAGGAAAAAAAGAAAGAGAAAGTTGAAGAATGATTAAAACAAAGAATAATATGAGAGAAAGTGATAGAAGGAAGAAACAAAGAATAACACACGGAAAGACAGAAAGGGAATTCAATTAATATCAGAATCAGAGAAGGACTTGCATCGACTTTTGGATGTTGTCGTGAGAGAAAGTGACAATATTAGAGAGGACCGTCCAAGAAAACGGAATGAATGGTATACCATCATTACCATGCTCTCTTACAACAATCAAAACAAGCCACCTCTGCTAATTACCTCTGGACCACAATAAGAGGCTAGAGGCGAGCAAGAAATCAAGAGAAGGTTATTGCACTTCAGTGGCGGAGCAAGGGGGGAAACGGCCGCGCCCCCCTCCCTATTGGCGGCGCAAAAAAAGGAAGGAAAAATAGAGGAAGAAAAGAAGAGAAAAAAAGAAAGGAACAGAGAAAAGACAAGAGAAAAGAAATCCTCCCCTCCCTCCTCCCCCCCCCTCTCCCTCCCGCCCTCTCCGGCGTCGGAGGCAGGCACGTAGCCAGAGTTTGATGTTTTGGGGGGGGGGGGGGCACATACATGTAATCGATCGAGGTAAAAAAAAAAGGGGGTCTAAAAAAGTTCAACCGATCTTGGAAGAAAAAAAATGGGGGGGGGGGGGGGCCCACTCCCACCCCCATAGCTACGTGCCTGGAGGGACCGAATTCGTGTTCCCAAAATCTCCGGTAAAGGGATAACTTATCACGCAACAAAGTCCGGCCCGTACTGACTTAACACACCGGAGATAGAGGGGTGCTTTCAAAGAGAGGGAGCATGCATACGCGTACCCTATAGTGGGGGGGGGGGGGGCCAAGTCGGGTGGGAAAGGGGGTAAGACAAGGAAATGGCGCTAAGTGACAGTAACGACGAATAAGGGAAAAACTTAATCGGGAGATTTGGGGACATTAGTGAAGGCTTGGGAAACGTTATTGAATAGAGGGGGCCGGCCGAATAAAATCTCGAGCCACGGATTCAAAGTTAAACGTTAGAAACAGCCCCTGCGCTACAAAGGTCATCACTCTTTGGTGAGAAATTTTAAAAGGGCACAATATTTTGGGTGTCTTTTAAATAGAAGCTGTATATACTCAACAGTCTAATTTTAAATTAACGGTAGAGGGGCCGCTTCCCAACTCTTATTTTGCCCTTCAATATTTTGGCTTCAGCTCATACCAACTCGCTTGAGCTTGTATTTGAACTCATGTTGGTAGTAATAAATTATGGACAGGGGCTGCAATCCTGGGCCCGCTAGGAGAACAAGTCCCCCAGGAAATTTAGAAATAAAGCTAGAAAGAAATAATGGCGGAAATAGTGGGCTTCTAGAATGCATAATTTCAGCATTCAACATTGCAAAATCTCCCTTGGTCGCTAGTCGCTACACCCCTCGCCCAATAACACAAAATTATGATATGACACTACGCCCACGCTGCCGGCCGTGATTTATCCATGGTTGGTGTAATAGATCGTTTTTTTTATTTTTTTTAAAGATGATTGGTACTACAACGTCGGAGAATAGCGTTGAAAAGAGACATAACTAACTAACTAGCTTTTCGTTTTGTACTCATCAGAGTAAAACGCAAGAATGAAACAGGAGGCCGAAATCGGTCACTTTTATAAACGAATTTAAAAGGAACAAGGCGCGAATATAACGAGCGCTGATTGACTGTCTAAAGTAACGGTAAATTAGGCTTATGCCAGCCGGTTATACCGGATTAAGAGTAGTTAATTAAGAGGATTAAGAGTCGAGAATGGAACAACGAATCATCTTCTTTCTCTAATAATTTTATTAAACTATGAAAGGTCAAAGCTTCCGCGCTTCGTGCGGGAGGGAGAAGGGGGGGGGGGAACTGAATTCAGACAAGGATTAAGAGTCGAGAATGGTAAAACGAATCCTCTTCTATCTCTTATAATGTAATGAAACATCAAAGCTTCCACGCTTCGCGCGGGAGGGGGAAACTGAATTCAGACAAGGATTACGAGTCGAGAATGGAACAACGAATCATCTTCTTAATAACTTCATTAAACTTTGATAGGTCAAAGCTTCCGAGCTTCGCGTGGAGGGGGGGGGGGACTGAATTTAGACACGGATTAAGAGTCGATAATGGTACAACGAATCCTCTTCTTCCTCTGCTTCGTGCGTACGTAATGGGGGGGGGGGGGGTCGACAGCGAGCTCACGGTCCGAATAATGTTTGATATCTTTTCTCGTTTATCTTGGTGATAAATAACACTTTCACAAAATACATATTATGCTTAATTTTTTGCTCGCTCTCTAGCCGAATTGTGAAACCAGAAAATTACTTTTTGAGGCAAGAGGCTTCAGCCACCCCCCCCCCCCCCAGAAGAAAATGTCCAAAATTGTATAACTTAATTAAAACGGGGAACTTGATATCGGACAAGAGACGTGACGTGAGCCTGCCCCCTTTCCAAAATTGTGCCTGCTTGTATAGGTACCGGTATGGTGCTTCTAATATGACCTTGATCCGCGCCTGCACTTGCAAAATCAACTTTCTCCAAGTTAGAAAACATCTTAAAAGCATAAGAAGCTGAAGATGAAGACGAATAAGAGGTCGACAGCTCAGCTTCTCATTTTCTTGGGTCATGTTATTCTAAAGAATGGTTTGGAAAATCTTGCACTGACTGGTTTTCGACATATGGACTCTTTTTTTTTTTGATGCTCTTTCGGAAAATGAAGTTCAAATTGAGAATTTCTAAAAACAGATATTTATGACCTCATAGCTTCGGTACTCTTTAGGTCATTGCACTTAGGCGCAGGTTTGACTGGTTTCTCCCTTAGCTTCGCTCTATATTCAGCCTAAAGAGGGCGTTTTCTCAAACACGTAATATCACTATATGTACTGAGCAGCAACATAGTAGGGAAAGTCACTACGAAATATCTGTCTTTTGATCTGGAGTGTGTTCAGCACAAACGATTAGGGTAAGATAGTTTTCAAAATCATTGTTGGTAGTAATTCTTAAAATCTTTGTAGTGTTAATTTGAAAATAATATGAATAAGTAATCAATAAAGAGCGTACTAATGTAATGCCTATCGGCCTCCTGGCTTAGCTTTGAATGCAGTCAGCTGCCAGCCTGCTGCAGCCACTGCCTAAGCCCTAGGCTAGACTGCACAGAGCGCGCGTCGCGTCGGCCGGGGGTTGATGGTGAGACGGTATGGAGGTGGGCACTGCACACTCCATCAAAGCATATTCTAGAGAGTCATTGTGTGTGTGTCCATTGTGTTTTTTACAGACGTGTATCAATCAGATATGATTTTTTTACCTCTGAGGACCGATCTTTAAACGTCACCATCCGAAAGACGTGACTCTGACTCAGCTTCGAACCTGCGTCCTCGGCTGAATCAGTTTGTAACTTCCGCTTTTACTTAGCTGGATTACAGGCGCACGCCACAATGCCTAGACTAGTTGTGTATTGACCTTTATATCCAGCACATAGACCCTACAAAGAATCTTTTAATCTGATTGGTCTAAACGAGGTCACATGATCATTGATATATTTACCATCGTGAGTGAGCTAGGGGTGTGCAAAGCCAAAAGTACTATCACACTGCGATAGTACTTTTGTACAGTATTTTTTTGCTGCTGCCCCACTTGCCCATTGAATAAGCATAGCGAAGAAGGTTACGCTAAATGTCAGTGTTTTTGTTAAGGGTTAACTTAAGGCCAAACTACAAGTCAACGATGCTTAATTTAAGCGTTAAAAAAGTCAAATGCGCGTGCTTCTACTTTATTACATGTAGTCTATGCATGTTGTGCTTTGAACATAAATCATGTAAACTTGAAACAAATACGACTATACAACTGGTAAATAAGACCAATCGATGCATGTCATTAATGCGCGATAAAAGCAAAACCATAGCCATGTAATGTCTGATCGCGCACCCAATGTTGTGTGCTAAAATCTTTCCCATAGAGATTGCACACATCCCTATGTGGTCTACATGCATTGCGCGACCAAGCAAAATTGGTCAATGATTTTATGAAAAATTTGAAATTCAAACCTTTATAACAAATGATCCTGAAGGTGAAACTCAATAAATGTGGTGTCATATGAAAGAGCAGGTTTTTCTCCATATTCCCCATAGGGGGCCACCCCCGGAATTCTAAATATATCTTGCTCAAAACAGCGATTTAAACATCGTTTCCATGGTAACTCGGAGATTTACCAATTTCACGAACTGCCCCCCGAGGGATAAGTTGGGCCAGCTGTAAAGAATATATCCATGCACTTATTTTTTCTCTAGTCCCAAGGGATCATTTGTTACAACAGTTTGAAAATACCCTTGCTCCACGCTTTGCATATCGTGCTGTGCATTAGCTGTGCAGCTTTTGAGCAGAAATTATAACTCTGCGTGAACCACTTTTCTGTCCATTCTGACCAAAATGCTATGAATATTGCACAGTTTTTGAGGGGCTGTATCTTTTGATAGAAACATCGGTGAGTCTTGAAATTTGAAAGGTATTATTCTGATTACATTTTTTACTCCAATATCCAACAAAAATGGTGAAAAACGATCCCAAATTGAAAATTGAAAAATCGTTCAGACACCCTACTATGATGTTGTGTTGTGTGCTAAAATTCTTCCCATAGAGATTGCACGCATCCCTATGCAGTCTATGTGCATTGCGCGACCATGCAAAAACAGTCTTCTTTTTTTTTTTCAATTCGAGATTTAAACCTTTATCTGTTGTGATCCTGAAGGTGATACTCAATAAATAAGGTGTCATATGAAAGAGCAGGTGAATTCCAATATTTCCAAAGGGGGGTCATCTCGAAATTCTAAAAATATCTTGGTCAAAATGGCAATTTAAACATTGTGTCCTGGCTATCTTTGAGGTTTGCCACTTTTGAGATATGACGCCCCGATCGATAAGTAGTCCCAGTCCTAAGGAACAATTCTATACGCTTATATTTTCGCTAGCCCCGAGGGATTACAAAGGATTACAGTTTAAAAATACCCTTCCCCCTATTTGGTGGATCAGCTAATTAGGGGGCGTGCTCTCCGCTCAGTCCAAACCATGGTTACATCGCGTAACATCTCCGCGTACAAACAAAACCTGACATTCAATTACACATTATAGTAAATTAAAGTATGGCTAGCCATTCGCGCAATAAAACCCGGAAGTGAATACACGTTATAGACAATGGCAATATCGCAGAGACAACGTGCACGTTGTCTCTGCGATATTGCCATTGACTATAACGTGTATTCACTTCCGGGTTTTTTGGTGCAAACGGCCAGCCATACTAGTCAATGGCAGGTATCGCAGAGACGACGTGGCTCAAGCTGAAAGTCGCGCATTCAGCTTAGCAACATGCGTACGATATGCATACGCTTGCATATCGCGCGATACAGCTGTTTGGCTTAATTTAGCAAAATAACATCACTCTGCGTGAACGTCTTTTTCGTCGATTCTGACCAAAAAGATATGAATTTACCAGTGTTTTGGAGGGGCTGTAATGTATCTTTTGATAGAAACATCGGTGAGACTTCAAATTTGAAATGTATTATTCTGATTACATTTTTTATTCAAATATCAAACAAAAATGGTGAAAAACGATCCCAAATTGAAAATTGAAAAATCGTTCAGACACCCTAGTATGATATGTTAATATGTGTCGACAAGTTCATTGTTCTTTCAAATTTTTACCACTTTTATTGACTTATTAACTGAATTGAAATGCTCACGGTTTTGAGCAATGTTGCCAAAATCATTCAGCATTATTGGAAGCTAATTATAAGTATTTGTAAAACAGACAATATCAGCCTTGAGCTCCATTTCATGTTTTTAATGAATTTAATTCAATTTATTTCAATAATAATAACAATGCAAAGGTCTAGAAATATACCATACAAATGTGATTGAATTACTATTAAACACTGCTCACAAATTTAAATGAATGGAACTACAGTCTGTATTTACTATGCAGTTAAAGCACATCTATATTCAGCATACCCCTTAAAAATATATTTCTGTTTCTATATTTAATTTCATTTCATTTCATTTCTCATGTTGTTACATAGGCTATACATTGGAAAACAAAGTACAAGTTTTTTTTTTTTTTCAATAATACATAATAAATAGCATGAAAATAAGTGGTCAATATAGAGTACTGATTTAACTGGTTATTCGTGTATTCATGTAACTTGCCTTTTAAATAATGAAGACCTTTTTTTCTCTGTCTTTCATACACTGTACATCACAGGTACATGTACTGAAGAAGGTCATAAATCGAGAAAGCAACTTCCTCACCAAACATTCAAGATTTTCTACTACATAGTGATAAATGAGATGACCTTTCTGTTTGCACGTCTGAGCATCAGAAAGAGCTCCTTTTGGATGGAACCCTCATTTTCTTCTTTAGTTTTGAGTGTGCTCTTCATTCAATGAATATCTAAGAGAACGCTAGCTTCCGAGAGATATACATGTAAGTTTCCACTGTGTTCTTCACTTCATGTAAAGCTGCCTCCGTTTTTCAACAAAGAAGGATAACATCGACACAAGTGCCGTTAGCATATAAAGTTGATCTTCCGATGAAAAACCATACTAGCAGTCATCAACATCAACATGGCGTTATAGTCTCCATTATGAATGATTCAACACTCAGTTGATGAGCAGCAGATAGATAATTCATCATTAATTACATTTATTGACAAAAATAGAGGAAAGGACTCTGCAATTTATAACCCAACCATGGCTAGTAACAGTACAGAGGACGGTAACCAAAAACCTAGCAACGGAGCATCGGCTTCCACGGACGATTCCACTAGCCAAGAGAGCTTGTTTGAATGCAACATTTGTCTTGATACCGCCAAGGATGCAGTCGTCAGTAGATGCGGGCATTTATTCTGGTGAGTTTTTTACAGTCTTTTTTTGCTCCAACCGAATGGGAAATTAGATTGGAATAGATTAAAATCAAAGATAAGGTAGGATGATTTGTGACAAACTACGCTGAATCGCCATTTGCTCGGGGCTTTATTTTTTGTCCAAGATGGAGCGAGTTAGGGCTTGGTTTGTGACTGGGCGATAGGTTAGGTGTACAGGTATTGTTGGTCAAACAGTTTTTGAGCATCAAGTAACGCCTGGCTGGAAGCTCCCCAGGGAGTGGAGATTGTGCACACAGTGTGTGCGGCCAAGTATTGAATCCAATGACCGGGGTAATTCTGTAATTAAAGCGCTTAGAGACATCATAGATGTATTAAGCGCTATGTAAAAGCGGAATTATTATTTTTATTAAGGGTTTGGGTATTGATTGATTGATTGATCAATTTTTTTTCATTTCATATAACAATTGTTTGCACAATAAAGAACATAGTTTACAAAGTAAGTTCAAAATTATGAAATGAAACTGGAACCTACTGGAAAGCATAGGTAGCTTGTTTTTGTAGGTTCCCAATAATAATGTAATATAAATATTATTTTCATAAATCATTTCAAATTGTCTTAATAATCAGAGTAAAAATAGATATAATATAATAACATATTTTTATAAACCCTTTAAAAGTATTTAAATAGTTGAAATATACAAAAAGAACAGAATTACATGTACAAAACGGGACACGAAGGACAGGAAACTGACCTAATAAGATAAGACATGACGTGACAAAACAACTCATAACATTAAAATAGATCATGCAAAATTACAGTAGACCCTCCCGAATGTTGACATACTGTATAGTTTGATGATGATTGTTTTAATATACATGTACATGTACATGTACCTGATGATTGCTAAGAGTAAACAACCAGGGGAACGACTGCTGTAAGTCCTCTCTGAGGGACTTGGTAATGAGGATTTATGATTCACCAAAGGGTATGAGCGCATCGATTTGGTTTTGAGCCAGGGACCTCTCGATCGTTCGTTCATTCGTGTCTCCTTAGATCAAGATTAATGTAATCTTGATCTTTGGAGTAGTTGCTACAACCGGCCGTGTCAGACACGTTGCCCTGGGGTGCGAGATAATAAGACCAAAGCCATGGCACCTCCTATAGTGAAGTGACATTTTATACAAACACTGTATGATTGTTATGACTGTATATTTTGTATTTTTAGTTACCCTGTAAAAGATTTTGAAAATTTAGCCTTTGGCTGCAATGATATTGTATGAATTATTAAAAGGTATAGACCAGTTTTGGAAACGCCCCCCTCTCAAAAAATGAAATGAAAGTTCCTTTTACCAATCATGTGAAAGAATATGTTTTGACTAATACGTGAGGATACAAATTTTGCTGGGAAACCACCTACTAAGTGATATATTTGGTAAATTATTATAGCTATCCAGTCCGGATAGATCTAAAAATGTATCGCGTAGTATACATCTTTCTGTTTACAGCGCTTGTAACTCTACCAAGACTGGGCCAAATTTCTTATCGTTTTGATGATTCCAGAACCTTGCAGTACAGACCAATACTTACATGTACACTACATGTACTGTATATGCTAAAGTAGTTGATCAACCTTTTCTGATCGATTCCACAACATTTCTTTCACAATGCAATTGCATGACCAGAACTGGTCTTTACCTTTAACTTTAAAATACATGTATTTCAATATCATTCTCTTACAGTTGGCCCTGTCTATACCAGTGGCTTGAGACCAGACCAAACAGACAAGTGTGTCCAGTATGCAAAGCAGGCATCAGCAGAGACAAGGTCATTCCATTGTATGGACGGGGGAGTACAAATCAACAAGATCCCAGGTATTTGAGTGAAATTTGTTTCTTATTGTAAAAGCTTTCAGCAGTTACAAGTCAAAAAGGGGGTAATTACATGTACATCTACAGATTTGCTTTATAGTGTTTGGATTGGGCATATAATATTTTTTTTAAAGAATACCAACAAATACAGACATGTACTGAAGCTTTTGATCTTGCATTCATCAAGCACTCACCAGAAATGTCCAGAATGAATCGCAAGATTGAATAGAAAGGGGAAATTAGAAGCTAAGGGAACACATAGTAATATAAATAGAAGCTAAATGGATGATCGTAATGGGCTGTGTTATTTTCTCTTTTGTACTAGTTGGTCTCCGACATACTACTCAACCTCATGTCCGCTTGGTCATAGTTTGAAAGCAATAATCATGAACTTGGCTGATTATACATTTATGTTGTTGACTTTCATTGATTGCCACTTTAATAGTTTGTTTGCCGCTTGTTAACAGGCAAGTGCGTTGAAATACCTTAGAAAGACCATGATCTTATTTTTTCTCTCTTTCTTTGCGACTTCAGAGAAAAGATGCCACCAAGACCACAGGGGGAGAGACTCGAACCAGAAACACAAGGGGTAAGCACTGTCTTTGTATGTCCCCCCCCCCCCTCGCCCTCTTTGCAATGTTACATCAGTTCTAAAGTGCACAAAGAACATGCTTCAGTGACGATGGCTTTGTGTTCAATATCTACACTAATGGGGCATTGCAAGAAAGTTGCGATTGATTGCAAGTTCCCAAATTTGCAATTGATGCAATGGATTGCAACTCAACTTTCTTGCAATGCCCCGCTAGTCTCCTAAATTTCCTAGGATTTTGTAAGGATTAAAGATTTAACAATTTAATTAAGTTAACTAGATCTAGCTTTTATTCTCCCCCTCTCTCTTACTAATGGGGCATTGCAAGAAAGTTGAGTTGCGATCAATTGCAGATTTGCAATTTTCGCAAGACTTGCACTTGATTTGCAATGGATTGCAACTTTCTTGCATTTCTTTATAAGTGTCACTAACTAAATTTCCAACTTCAACACCAGACCCATTCCTAACTGTAAAGCCTTGAAGCCATACATGTAGCTCTGTCTTTGATGAAATATAGCCTGGAGCAAATGTTGGATCACTGTAAACAACACAATATGTTGCATGTAGTTTTATAATGTAATCAAATCAAATTGAATGCATTCATTTTTGTTATCCTTGTTACACATTAGCTCAGACACCTGTTATGAATAACTTTCAATAATCAGAATACAAATTTCATACATGATGCATTGTCCAACCTAGCAACAACTAACGTATGACATTTGTATTTTGACTATTATTTGTAACTGTTGTAACAGGTGAATTTAATAACTCATCAATTTTTCAAAACATGCACAAATTTGAGTACATTTTGAAAACTGGTCTATTGAGTACAAGTTCTAGAGCTCTATAGTTCATATCTTTTGTTTAAAACAAATTAAGAAAATTAAACACCATGATTATTTATTTAAATAAGTCATTTAAAGTTACAGTTGTCAGCATCTCTGTTTCTCCTCTTGAAGAAGAATGTTTATTCCATTTATTTTTTGTTGATATCCATGCAGCCCTTCCAAGGTTTTGGTTTTGGAGACGGTGGTTTCCACATGTCCTTCGGTATCGGTGCCTTTCCTTTCGGTTTCTTTGCTTCAACATTCAATCTAGGAGACGGCAGAGTAGGACATCCACGTAAGTATAAGAACAGTTGGGCAGTAGGGTCCTCACAAGAATTACAGTTAAACCTGTCTATCAACGCCACCCGAGGAAAACAGAATGTGGCCTGTAGACAGGTGGCCTTCCTGGACAGGTTCTACAACACACATTTTCTCTCTCTCTCTCTCTCTCTTTCTTTCTCACTCTCTCTTTCTCTCTTTCTCACTCTCTCTTTCTCTTTCTCTCTCACTCTCTCTTTCTCTCTCTGTCTCTCTGTCTCTCTCTCTCTCTCTCTCTCTAGGGAGTCGAAATGCATATCCACTGTAGACTGGTGGCCTTTACAGAGAGGTGGCCAGTAAGGCAGGTTTGACTGTAGTTTACCCCTGTTCTAAAGTGAATGAATTGGCATTTTGAAATCATTCAATTATTTGGCCTTCGGCAAATGGGGACATTTTTTCTAGACGATCTCCTGTTCCTTTTTGTATTTTTATGATATACATGTACATGTACATGTAAATGCACTCCATTTCATTAATGTAAGTACTGGGTGCATTGTCCAAATGTTCTTTTGCATACTTTTATCAGTACATGACTGCCGCTAAATTTCTTTTTTCTTTGAATAATGTAAATAGTCATATATTGTTGAGTGGATTGTGCATCCTGACTTACACGGAAGTTGTACTGTATAAGTCATGGTTTATGAAGAAAGTGAAAGTGCGAATGTTGTGAACATTTTAACTTCCTGGGTGCTTCCTGTAGAAGTATTGATAAAGTATTGATGAATGTTAATGGTTGTCTTATCACATAACAGTATATGATATTGTATGAATGAGGTTAACACTTTGTATTTTACCTGTTTACAATACACTTCAATATGTGCAGATGTTTGGCTGTTTTTATTGTAAATATGACATTTGGTCTTCAGACTTTTGTTATGTGTTTTATTGATAATAAACCAAAGTTGACATTAACATTTCAAGTGAGAAAATATGGGGTCTAGCTCATGTAGATGTACATGTAGTAAGCCGACTCCATTAAAATAAGCAGTACTTTAAAAAAAAATCTTTAACTTCCGCTGTTCTCTGTTTGCTTCATCATCTCTGTATCCTCTCACTCTATTACCATGTCAATAACATATCAATACCCACACCGGCACAGAGCCTTTTTATAACATAACTCATTTATTGGCTTGCAGAGGGGCAAAATAGTTTTGTATAATTTTAAGTCCATTGCCAAGGTATAATTTCCAAGGAATCACTTCAATTTTTTTTCTTCTCTTGCAGCCCGTCCACAAGTTCCTAGCAACCCGGAAGAGCAGTTTTTATCCAAGGTGTTTCTGTGGGTGGCATTTCTCTTTGTATTCTGGTTGCTCGTCGCTTGATACTTGTTGAGCCTCGAGGGACCACCTCATTACTGCTTTGAGCCAAGCTTTCTTCAGGGACTCCTACGACTGCATCGATTTAGTGCAGTTAAAATTCATGTTTGTATGTTTTCAGAAGGATGGCGTAGTCTGGCTGTAGATGGCGCTTCTCAAGAGCCTCACTCGACAGCACTGAAAATGGTTTGTGGGCAAAACACACACACACACATCTTCATGTTTTCGAGCAAGTACCTTGCATGGAAGGTGCGCTCTAGTGCAGCTTATGGGCGATTACATGCATTATGTCTTGTATGATATATAAAGCCTCTTTTTCCCTTTTCATTATGTGAGGGGTATCAGAAATAACCATTTACAGTCGAACGTGTCTATAGCGACAACCCAAGGGAAACACAAAAAGTGGTCTTTGTAGACAGGTTCTTTTAGTACATGTTTCAATGAGAAACCATTTTCAAGGGAAACAAAAAATGTGGTCTCTATAGACAGGTGGTCCTTGTAGACACGTGGTTGCTAAAGCAGGTTTGACTGTAATAGTTGATAATCATCTCAAGAATTTCTGTGGATGTTTTGATATTTCATTTTGGGTTGAAATCAATAAATGTCATACATGTATGTTGTACGGGACACATCGCACAGAATCGCCCATATGAAACATGTCACTGCCCAGTGAGAGTCTTTGACGCCTGATCCTGACAACGTCATGACTTCAACATACATGTATATGGTATGGAAAGAGCAAAATTCTTACCAATAAACAAGATTATTCCATGGCCAAAGAACGCCCGTCATTAAAAGCACTCGTCAACAATTTACTCATAGTTTCATTTTGGCACATATTGCAGTCATTGCAGGTACATAAATTCTGTTGAAAGCATTAATGTATTTCCCTATACCTGCAGTCTTGCAAATCCCTCATAATTACAGTGGCTACACGTTTACCGTCATCTGTTTACATATATGTGTTAATTCTACTGCACTAAATACACATTAGCCATTGTGGCTTGATGGCAGTCCTGGTGAAATTGGAATTGTATATTGTTTGTGTCAAATATTATGATTACCGGTACAATTGGAAAAAGCTTCTCTAGGGGGTGCCCTGTCGAAGCTTGCTAACTGTCTATACATGTATATGTTCAATTTAGATTATATGTTTTATTTTATATTCTGATTATATTGTAGTTTAATTAATATACAATTTCTTTTTCGTGGTATACTCAGGGTATGAATTGGCATGTCTATTGGTAAAAGAAAAACAAAATTGTGCATAAAGCTGGGGCATATTTTGCTCATGGTCCAGATTTGTAGCAACACTGAATTTTTGCTGTTCAATAAGTATTGCAAATATTTCTTGTCATCAAAATTCCTAAAAGGCCAATGCCTACAATTCATGAAAGTTGTCTGGGTGTACCATGTGAAAATGGGTTACCACTTTGAAAAAGGTTGTGCAAAGAAAAGTAACCTGGAAGTATTTGGTATGTATGGAAACCATTATCTTAAGCATACATGTATATTTTGTTACTTTGTTGATATTTGATACAGTGAATTTTGCTTGTCGGTACAATATAGTCTCAGTATGCTATATACAATCTTAACTTTGTATTGTAGAGCTGTTCACAATTTCTTGACATATCACCAGGTGCAAAACCAATGGCAGCACATTTTGAAGAGCTAAAATGTAGTATGATTGTTATTATTTCTCAGATGTAATATATTCTTTCCCACATGTATGACATTGTTGAAATATGGTGCTGTTTAATTCCTCATTTCCTGCAAACTGGATGCCTGGGCCCCATCTTATAAAGAGTTGTGATCGATCCAAATCAAACGCAAGTCCTCCAATCAGTCACATTTTGCAGTCCCCTATCTCCCATGTACATACTTTCAATTGATCTTAGTCGTAAATAAGTTGCGATCAATATCAACTCTTTATAAGATGGGCCCTGGACTGCAAAACTATTCTGTAGACTGTATTTATTCAAAAGTCGACTCCAGGGGGGCGTTTCACAAAACTTGTCATCAGTGACAAATGACAGTTCTCGTTATAAGCTACTGAAATCGTTGCTTCTGATTGGTTATCAGCATATTTTGTCACTGATTTTTGTCATTAGTCATTGAAAAAAGGGCTTTGTGAAACACTCCCCAGCAGTTCATTGCATGTTCCAGATTTCGACCAAAGCAGGAACAAATTGTAAGAAAAATGTTAATATGGGGCTTTGTGTAATGATTGGTGTTGCCTTAATATTTAATGGCTGTCATTATTTTGTCAAATTATTTCATGATTGGTGATGACGGTATCGTGTAATTATTGGGTTCCAAACCAAGGACTGTTGTTGATAATGGGTTTTAAGTTATAATAGGTATTAACCACTTCTTCAGCACTCATTATTTTGTCAAAGTATTTCTTGTGATGAAACACAGAAGAGGTTCAGGTTTGATAAGTGATGCATGATCTCAGTAATTTGTTCTTTCTTCAAAAGCAGTGGAACATAAAGAGAGTAGTGCATATCATTGTCATCCATTTTGTTGTGATATTTCATGGAGACTTTGTTTGCCGACCCCTCAATTAAAAATGATGTATCAATTCCTGGCACTGATCAAATTGAAGGGCAAGACATGAAGAGTTCATGTATATATTCTGCCATTTCAATTCATCTTATCTATCAGCTAATGACAGAAAAGTGTTCAAGTTAAAAGCATTGGTTGTTTTGCATAGCATATTATTTTGAGTCTTACATTTACTATTACCTGTAGGAATTTATGGTTATCCGACATTTGTTCCAACAAGGTTCCAGACTTTATTCATCAAATTATAGGGTTAGGGTTGCAATTGGGTTTTTTAGATTACCCGATAGAGTTTAGGGTCAGGTATAGTGTTGGGTTAGTTTGGGAAATGGACTTGAATCATTTGCCGCAGAAGCAAGCATCGTAAAAGCATGTCAGGATGAAAGCTCAATATTTATCTCCTTAACTGCTCATCACTCGGCTATTATACTGTACGATTTATTACCTAAATATGATGTAGCAGATATGTTTTCTTCTTAGTTTTCAATATTCAGTTGAAATCCCTGCTGTGATGTTTTATTTATTTTCTGTCATTACCAGAATTCAAGACTATCTCCTTTTTTCTGAAATCATTTTATTTTGTTATTCTAGGGAACCAAATGTAAATTTGTGACTGCATTTTAAACACACGGACTACTGATTACTTTACTGTTCCCGTAGGTAAATAAATGGATTTATACATGTATGTAATTGTATAATTGTCCTGCCATGGACCTAAAGCTTTACATGCAAATCACATATTTTGGGTTGAGAGCTATAAATGGCATTTAATAGCTCAACAAAAGTTGTTAAATTCTTCTGGTTCTCAGAAGGGGGTGTTTCACAAAATTTGTCATTAGTGACAAATGTCAGTTATTGCTATGAGCTAGTGAAATCCTTGCTTCTGATTGGTCATCAGCAGATTTTTCACTAGTATTGTCATTTGTCATTGAAAAAAAGGCTTTGTGAAACACCCCCCTGGTGTCACATTTTGATACCCCAGTCACAACCAACAAGTCTGACCCCAGACCAACCCCATACCACACACAGGATTACATGTACCTCGAACGTCCAAGAATCGGTCAGTTTGGCGGTGTGACTGATGTTTAATTAGAGTTGCATGTCGCCCTTCAAATTGGCAACAATAGTATTTAGATGAATATATTATACATGTATGTTTATATCAGAGGAAGTTCTGTTCTATGTAATGTACATACATATTTATGTATGAGATGTTGATCAAAATAAACCGAGAAATACATTATCTCATGGACATTAAATTTTTTGTACGTATAGCTCATTGTTTTGTGAGGCTCATGAAGTTTGCGAAAAAGGGGATAGTATGTAATTGAGGCATTACCCCCAAATGTACTCTACAACATAGCCACTGACCGCCCTTTGAAATTGAATGAGCATATGTACAGTACTGTATATGCTGATAATCAAATCTCATCTCATTTAAAAGATAATTTTAAAAAATTAATCGGGATCTGTTTGCTTAATTAGGGCGTTGACAAAATATGAATTCTTCTATTGGGTACATGTTTTAGGGCTATTGTGCCAAACCACCCATACATGTACATGTACATGTACATACACGTACATGTATGGAGCAATATTTGTTATGTTTGTTTAAAGGCAGTTTTCCCCGTCAATATGTGCTCAAGGCTCAGGCGTCCCAAAGCTTAAGTAAAAGTACAAAATCAAGCCGTATATCTTATGTGAAATTTCATTTATTATACACCTCTGACTACAGTCAACATACTGTGAATATATACATGTTGTACAAAGTTACAGCGCTCCACTATACTTCCAATATACCTCTTCTTCAATCCGTCCTACACCACACTACCAATACCTAGCACGTTACTGAAAGCAACGGGATAATCATAATTTCAAGTTAAACATTCCCACAACTGATATCAATAAAATATCTACCAACAAAAAAAATCAATTCCAAATGTAAACATGCAGTCTACATAATTATGATGTTTCATAGGAAATACATCTTGTCTAAAAAATAAGCAAACATAAATCAAATAACACTTGTTTGCAGTTCATACATTTCCAGGATTCTTAAAGAGCTAATTGGCTCTAAAAACAAAATTCATTGCATTCATACACGCAGACACAGTGCATATCACATCTATTTCAATAATTGACCAATCTCTCTTAATTGCTAATACACAAGTCTCTTGAGCGGCTAAATGCTCGATGCAAAACAAACACCTCAAAAAATTCACACATCACACAATAGATATACATGTATTTAAGTACTACGTACCCAAGTAATTTGATTTGATTGATTTTTGATAATTTATTCTTGTCCACAAATTATCAAATATTAATCCCTCAAATGTAAATAAATAGTCATTCCTACAACCTACAAGGGTATATCACTATCTATCTAGTACAAAACGGTCAAACAAAATACCAATTTTCTGCCCCAAAACGGGCTTGTCCCACAATGAGGGATGCATAAATAAATCGAGCTGTAAGTTGGTAAAAATAATGTAACAAAGAAATATTCAAACTGAGACACAAACCATCTTCTACAAAAAAAAACATCTCCCCCCCATTTACCAAATACTGCATACAATATCAACAATTGCCTCGTACATGTATCTTGCACACAAATCAAACATGTTCATGTAAATCTATGTAATCATTCCGGCACCGTTAATCACAAAATATATGTTTAATACACATTATCTAAATAATATTATTGTAATATTAATGGCAATAAAATATTCACTATGAACAAAAAAAGAACTCTAGATATTAACATTTCAGACCATCATAAATGCAAAATCTAACTAGGTAATGAAACATATCAATTAACTATTAAAATACTATATTGCATGTATAGAAAATACAGAAATAATCAGATAAATCATTCAAAATATGCAAGCAGATTAATACCATTCATAACTATTGAGCTATTCTACTAGAAAATGCTAAATTTTGGGTTTCTTAATCCCTTCTCCAGCAACAGTCATTATTAAATTATCATAAATGAACTTTCAAAAGTGTAATTCTGCTACGATTAATTCTTACATTAGGCATAGAATCTATCTCGAGTACAATGTAAGTAATAAGTATTTGAAAGAAAAATATATAACGTGAATAAATAGAGGTAACAATAGGTGCATTTGCTTATGTACCATATAAAAGTTTGCAAGCCAACCAAAGGTTGAAAAACTTTAGGTTTTCAATTAAACCAATCAATTGTTTTTCCATAATCTATAATGTTAACATTACAGCTTTGGTCTACCTAGAACTCTATTGAGTTTGCAACACAAATATGTATATCAAACGCAATTTCAAGCTTTCTCCTCAGACGAATTGTGTTACTAACATCAAATTTCAGTACGATGGACTTTTAACAAGGTTCTAGCGTAATTCCACTTATGGCAACTATTCACGTGTATAATTTTTGTGGAAGATTCAATTTTCTAGCCAAATAGCTACAATTTCATTATTATGTTTAACGTGCACACTCATTTTCTGCGCAGGCTATGAATAATCATACTTCAATAGCTGCTTTCATGTTAGTACAATCCTAGCAAAACTTTTACTTAAATACCAAAATTGTTTTCTTCAAAAATCCTTGTAACACACAAATCAATCTACATGTAAGAAAGTCACCTGTTATATATTCAAAATCCTGCTATACTTCATCTGCTCCCCCCCCCCACCCCCCTCCACTCAGTGTTATTTAGGGTATGCATATGCATGTTCCCAGCACCCCCTCCCCCCTTTCAGTATACCGTTAAGTCGGGTGTGTAAAGTCAATACGGGTAGATCTTTTTCTTTGTTACGAGCCAGAGATTTTGGGAACATGCATGCAGTCCCTCCATTTTGTGTGTTGGAACAAATGGGAAAGTTGTCCACTACTACATCCCAGAGACCAATTTGAAGAGCCCATACCTGTAGTGATTACAACTTTAAAAAACCAGTAACTTTCTTTTTTTTTGTCCGCTTTCATTCAAAATTTCATCAGTCTACTTCTCCGATTTTTCTGCTTTCGCCTACGGTAGTTTGAGATCAAGGCTGGATTTCCCTTTAAATATACATGTATGAATATGTAAATGTTTAAATGTTCATTTAGTAATTGGGCTAGCATTCAGAGTTGGATATCGAGTGTGGTATCTAGTATTACGCAGCTGAAAGCACAAGAGATACTAGAAAATATGATTGAAGTCACATAATACGAAAAGGGGATTACGATACACGGAATTGTAGAAGTGGTCTGAATCCAAAAAGAAAGATTCAAATTCTATTTTGTTCTTATTGTGACTATATTGTGACTCTTAGCACAGACTTTGATTATTACAAGTACATGAACATTAAGTACTTCAAAGATTGATTTCAAATATCATCTTCAGCAAAGTATCTACATATTCAAGGATGATGACTAAGATCTCAATCTACAATTAAACACTAGCTCAGTAACTTGGTAAAAGATGTTCTTGTCTTGTACTGCTCTCTAAACAATTACTACTGAAAGACATCAAACCTACATAGTACAGCTCTCAAAATGATGGATCATGAATGCATTCTGATGATGTACAATACATATTTTCATGATATACTTTGGATCATGATTGCATTCTCTTAATGAATGCATTCTGGTGATAATTGAATGCATTATGATAAAATTGTGAATCTTGAATGCATTCTGATAACGTGTGAATCATGAATGCATTCTGATGATAAAGTGTGAATCATGAATGCATTCTGCTGATAAAGCGCCTATACTATGAACACATTCTGATGAACTGTTGATTACGAAATGTAATGCATTCTGATGATAACGTGAGAATCATGAATAAAGGCTGATGATAAACTATGAAATCTTTTGCTGATCGCATTCTAATGACTAGCTGTGGATCATGAATGCCTAATGATGATGAAATGTAAAATACGGAAATCCAATCATTGACTCATTTCTCATATGACTAATCATGATGGCATTCTGATAGAAATCTGTCATCTCTGAATGCCAACCACTAAGAGAGACTGCGACATATCATCATCCACTGAGTGGGTCTTCCCTACAGTTGATGGCATACAGTAGCTTCTCTTTCATGACAGCCAGGGTTGAGTACTGTGGTAGCTTGATCATGAACATGCACGTCTCTACACGGATGAAGCGCTGGTCTGGCGATCCTGTAGAGACACAGGAAAGAGGTTGAGAGAGAAAGAGAGGTTGAGAGAGAGAGAGAGAGAGAGAGAATGGTCAAACAATATTTTGAAGAATTTTCTAAAGTAAACAAAAAATGTGGACTAGAATTACAATAAAGTGGTCTCATGTTTAAAAAAAATAACTTCCTGATGTCACATTCACATTTCCACCTGCAAGCTTGGTAAGAGCAGAACAAAAAACATGAAAATGGCCAAATTGTCAAACTGCACTGACTATTTTGGAAAGAAGAGAATTCCAACATTTATGAAATTAAGTACATGTATATCTGTATTATTTTGTTGCTATTAGGGACTTTAAGATTGAGTGGACGAGAACATCGTGAACGTCAACTGATCATGCGTGTCCATGGGAAGCCGTTTTAACATTTATTCCTATTTCCTGATATCAAAAACTCAATCTAAAAGTCTGTATTCTTTGAGTTTGCAGTACCAATCAATATCTTTAGTGAAAATAAAATTTATGCTCTGCAAAGTTCTACAAAGAACCTGACAACTCAAGATTTAAAAATTAGAATAGTGTATTTGCTCATGTCCCTGTATATATACCATCCACAATAATCTTTAAATTTTGCTGTATAAAATACAAGTATATTTCAAAATAGTAATAAAATACTTGATTCTTGTATAACATCACATATTAACAACATCTCTATGTATTTCCAAAGAGCTTTGGATTACTGAATGATTCCCATCAAAAGACTTACCACCAGGTCCATCGGGCGGGGCTATCTTCATGGGGTAGGGTGGCACATGGGCGGCGTCGTTGCCCCCCTGTCTGCAGGGACAGGTGCTGGGGATACGCTCCTGGTTGCAAGCAAACTTGATGAAGCGGCTGAGCTCCTCCTGGGAGAAACTCTCCAAGGCTTGCCAGAAGAACTCAATGTGTGTGTCTGTCTCCACCAAACCAACCTGGTACATGGTGTGAGCCTAGAAGCAATCAAGAGAAAAAAATATGCATTTATGTTAAGTTCTAGATGAATGTACACGACGCAATGCAGCAGCATTTACGAGAGGAAGGAACATCAGCGGGCCCAGCTTTGTCCCTTGCGGAACACCGCATGTCGTATGTTTCTCCTTGGAGATACAGGACAACTTGGGTACAATTAGTCAAACTGTATGAATTAGAAGGCATTTTGGGGACACTTGCTCAATGGTTTACAACAAAGTGCTTGAGGATACAGAGGACAGTACTGACCTTGAGCATGGCCAGGTCCACATGTGGTCTTCCACACATCCTGAGCTCCATGTCCGCTGGGGTCATGATGGAGAGGAGACGGTGAGGGACGATGGACGCTAGCCCGCAGCGGATGGCCAACATCCTCTCGGGACAGACCAGCTCTCTCAGGCGAAGCTCCCGAACCTCAGCGATGTACTCTCTACGATTGCTCCAGCTGTTTATTTGAAAGAAAACGTGATAGATTTTCAACACACATCACACGACATGCTAGAAAATGGAGCAGGCTGGGGGGCACCCTTACAGAGGATTATATGGTATTGAGATTGGCCAAATTTCATTCCAAAATAATAATAATAATAATAGTAGTGGGTTCTTGTATAGCACTCATGTCAGTAAGATTTGACCCTCGTGGCGCTCCCGATTATTACCCTGGCTTTAGCAAGGCTGCCATACGGCGCTCTAGCATTTCAAGGAATAAATTCCTATCAGGTACCCATTTACTTCACCTTGGTGGAGAATGGCAAATGTAGATCAATGTCTTGCCAAAGGACATTAGTGCGGTGTCCGGACACAAACCGCAGACCTTGTGATCGACAGTCCGGCGACGTATCCACTCGACCACAACACCTCTAATGGACAAACTACAGGGCTCAATTAAACCATGCATATACAATTGACCCCCCATTCATTTTACAAATCTAAAATCTGAGGACCTTTTCTTTTTTTACGCATGGGGAACATTTTGGTTAACCTGTTGAAGAGAGTGGTACGACAAATTCTCCCCTCCTTTCAATATGATCTGGCAACAACCCGATTGCAACATCAAAATTATCAGGACAGACCCCTCAGGAGCATGGATCTCAAGTACAAAATAAAAAGAAGTGAAACCTCACCTCACAGGAATCTCATGACCGTTGGGACAGAGTTCCACCAGATCTCCCATCATGTTAGGATACTCAAAATGAAGGCTCATTCCGGCGCACGCTGCTCCTGGACTGGAGAGGGAGTCCTGGTCATGATGATGGAGATAGGCGGCCACAATGTCTGAACACACGGCTGAGAATTCCTCCTCAGTTTGTGCCTGTACGAAAGCGAAGGGAGTAAAGATTGCTTTTAACTCATAATAACCTACATGTACATGTAGCACAAGATTACCTGAAATGAAAATAATCAGAAAAGCATTTTGGAATAAAAATATAATCATCTCCACCTGGATCAAGTGATGTCCTGATCCTGAAGTTAGATAGCATTTCATTGCTTTGGAGAGAAGGTTTCTTGTGATTATGTTGACTCGTTGAGTTTATTTGAGTTAGTTTCAAACATACAGTATAGTTATGTATGAAAAATAAAATTGAGATGTGTGAATGTAACTACAAAGGAATATCAATGTGAAAATTTTAATGTAATATGGGGTTGACTAGAAAAAGGCAAAATTGTTATCAGATGTGAAATCTTCTTCTGGTCATATGTCTAGAATATATCACATACATGTACACGTATTACTAACCATAGTGTTTAAATGACCATGACAAAACATTGCTTTACAAAATTGGTAGAGATCCAACTACATATAATATGCCAACATGCAGAAGAACTTGATTTATGATCAAACTAATCTCCACAAGATTCTATCAAATACCAAACCTCATCTGATAAACTAACCTGTTCCATCTTCTGAAGGAATCTGTGAGTCGCAATATCAGCCTCGGCTAGGTCCTGGTCTGGGTCTAGCGGTTCTTGGACCAGGCACTTCCAAAAGCTAGGTAACAGGTCCAGGGCTAGGGGTATATCGGCCCTCATGGCTATACCAAGAAGCTGTGACAATTAAAGGAGATCAAAGATGATGTAGATTCACAGCATTATTAGTTGTCCCTAAGACGCGCAGTTCCTGGGGGGATAGAGCATTTTCTCATTCCGGTCCGTCCCTTTGGAATAAGCTGCCACTTAATATTCGTAACTTAACTGCCCTCCATGACTTCAAAGTTGCTCTAAAACCCATCTCTTTCTAAACAGTGCTATTTAATCATGTCAATGTAGCGTCATAATTTGTGGTGTTTGAGTTTACTTTATTTTAGTTAAGAAAGTTATATGTTTGTGATTGTAATATGTACAGCACCATGAGTGTCAGAGCCTAGCGGATACCGGCGCTATATAAATATCCATATTATTATTATTATTATTTATGTGGTGTTAAATTTTGCAGTTCCCGAAAAAGGTCATAAAATAAAAAGATCAAAAATTTGAGAACTTGCAAACACGATTCTTATCTGAGTTTTCTATTTAGTATTGTATGTATGCATCATCTGTGGTAGCATTAACATTGGGTTACCTGTCCAAAGAATAGAAGCATCCTCTCTTCCGGGTAGGTCATAGGGTCAGGTCGAAGGATATAGCGCCCTCTATATTTGTCCATTGCACCGCCACTTAGACATGGCATGAGGAGGCGGAGCCTGTCGCCGTGGAGCTCCTGCGTTACCTCCCCCAAGAAGTGGCGGAAAGAGCCGCCTGGAGGAGAGATGGGATCAAAAAATATTTACCAATTGCTGAAAAAATAGGGGGCCTTTGCGATGTATTTGTATCTGAAAAGCACCTGGACCAAACTGCAAGCATTTGCTCTAGATTGAAAATAACTATCTATTGATATAATCTTATAACTGCGCAAATGATATCTGGACAAGTACTTGACTTCACACAAGAAACAAATGTGTTTTTTTTTTCACATGGATAACATTTGGTTAACAATACAGATATTATATTCATCTGCTTCCTAAAGTTTCTGGAAAAGAATTTCACCCTTCATCTGGTAATGGCCTTTCACCTCTCTTTCTCAAACTCGCCCTCCACTCAATCATTCTTCTATATGCGCCTAATTCTTCCCATCCTCTCCCTACTTCTTTTACTCCTACATGTATCAGCCCATAATATGATATTCCCTTATAAAGATGAAGTTGAGTACTGTTCATGCAATTACATTGAAATAAACTGTCTGGAAGAAAAAGAGATTTGTTTTTAGTACATACATATCGATGTGTACTGTGAGGTTTTGGAATGATCAAAACGATTCTTTTATTTTTTTTTTATAAATGCACTGCACACAGAAATGGGTGTATGGGACTACGCAAACACACACATGTTGCATCAAAGCTTGGTCCAAGCTTTTAAAAAGCTATTTATTGTAATATTTTGAATGAGGGCATTTGAAGAGCAATCCTCTTCAGGGGGCATTTCTACTTTAAAATTCTTCCAAACTGACATAAAACGAATGAAAAAAGCTCACAAATTATATTACCTTCACCGGACAGCAAACTTCTTTTTAAATATAACTTTGAAAATATAAGTTCCATATCAACCAAGTCAGGACGGATGCACATGCATACTCATTCTTCCCAAAGACAGTTAAGGACTGGAACAGTCTTTCTCCCTTAGTTGAAGCCAAACCTTTGTTAAATACTTTGAAATCTGCGCCTTAAGTTGGTGGCCGCACATGACGACACACCTCCAGTTTAAACACCTTTACGGCATCTTTTGGAGGAATCCTACCAAGTACTGTACCAAGACCAATGTGATTAGAAAATGATTTCTTACTTGTTCCATGGACTTCCTCACCGACCAGCTTGACATTGAAAGCGTACGTAGGGTCGCCACCGCTGGCTATCTTCACACACAGCTGAGAGGAGTACACATTGGCAAGGGCAGAAGCAGCTTGGCAGAAAGTGGGTGATTTATCCTTAGTTGATGCTGCAAACCAAGCAAATAATAACATAAAAAATCATCATCTGGGCCCCCTTCTTAAAAAGAGTTGCGATTAATCAAAACTTGTTGTGATTGATATCAATCACAACTCGTCGCCTGGCTGGCAGAAGGGCGTTAGCTCAAATTTCAGGTCAAAAATGAAACTTTCAGCAGAAGGGCGTCAACACTAAATCGCCTCAAACTTTTATAAAACTGACTTAATTCTGAGAAATAATTGTGGCCGTGTTCTACTACAACATTTCTATTAGTCTTTTATGTTTTAAACAAATTTTCAGGACGGAAAGCAGTTTAAATATAAAACAAATCTTTAAATCGAGATTCGAAAAGTAGTTTTCGAGTCGCTCGCGCGCTAACGCCCTTCTGCCACCTGGCCGACAAACTACATTGTACATACATAAGAGATAGGAGACTGTAAACTTGCGATTGATTTGTATCAATAGCAGCAATCGCAACTCTTTACAAGACGGGATACTGTCAAAACACAAGACTTGGTTAAAAACTGTCGGCAGCTATATTAGGACATTTTATTAAAATGTGAAATGCAAAAAACTAAGGACTTGTCTTCACTGATCTATTTTGTACAAGAGTATAGTTACACCTGCAAACAAACAAACAAAATTGCAGCAACATCTGGTACAAAACTGTTTAAAATCAGGACCACTCACAAAATTCAAAAATATTTCTGGTTTACAATCAATTATGAGAACAAAACATGTACCGTTGATGTTGAAGAGCGTTTTCCATTCCATGAAGAAAGATAAAGTACAACAATACCAAAGCTTCATTTTTACAGAGGACTTTATAGCATTTGCATATTGCCTAGTACTACAATACCCTAGCAAAGCCTTCAGAAACGCGATAGCTCAGTCCATGGAGCAGTGGTCTCCTAATCCGGTGACCCGGGTTCAAAACCAAGGCGATGCACTAGTGCCCTTTGGTAAGGCATTAATCCTCATTACCAAGTCTCTCGGAGAGGACTTAAAGCCGTCGGTCCTCTGGTTGCTTACTAACAAGCACTTATGCTTTCTTAGCAGTCAGGTAAAATAACCACCACTACACAAACACTTTCAACATAGCATAAGAAAATGGCCTTGTCTAAAACGGCTTCAGCGACTTACTTCCTATGACCTGCAGTGGGTCTAGGGACACTTCTGGTGCCGCCGTCTCCACGTTCCTCTGTGCCGTGGCGTCCAGGAGCAGGTTGAAGAAGCGCACTTTGGTATCGTAGAACAGCCACTCACGCGTCCGGGAGAGCAGCGCTGCCGTGCTCTCCAGGAGAGACTGCGAGGGTCGAAGGTCAACCAGCGGCAGGAAGTGATGCTCCAGGTTGGCGTTGAGGGACTGGAGGAAGGCGTAACGGAGTCTGATCGTGGCTATCGGGATGCCTGCATAGTGTCACACAAATTAGTAACATGTTGAGTACAATGTACGTCATGTAAAGTACAATGTACGTGTACCTGGCTTTTCCCCAGTTCATGCATTAACTGAATGCGAGCCACTAGTCGAATATCTTAAGAATAGATTTACATACATACAGAGGGCAAGCCTGAGGTGTAATCAATGTTATAAGATGATGAAGCGGATCCTAATTAAACGATTGGTTGAGAGTGTCCACGTGACTAGGCATTTATTCTGCCTAACACTTTATTTTACTAATGACCGGTCATTAGTAAATACTTATGACCGGTCATTAGTTAAATAATGTTATAAAACATCATTTTATAAACCAAATACTACACATCATTTTATTTGGGCATTAGTAAAATTAACCCCACTCGGCACTTCGATACAGTCCAAACACCCTCGGCTATTGCCTCTAGGGCAAGTAAGACTGTATAAAAGGTACCTTGTGTGGGCAATTCTTACCTATGCCCTCACTGCTGTGCATTATTTGTATAATAACCCACTTCTTATAACAGTTCACTAATGTAACTAAAAGAAACTGACATGAGTTATGAGGTTTTATAAACCCACAAACAATTCAAGACCCTGTACCTGTCAAGCAGCTATACTGAGGCCTAGCTAGGTCGGCCTCCGAGAAGACCAGCTCATGGGGATGTAGCCGAGCTGGTGTGATGGCAAGTTTGAGACATAGCTCGTTGGTGTAATGGACCAAAGCCTGGTCTTGCTGATAGGTCCAGGACTGTTGAGAGGCTACGGCCTTGTTCGGGTCCTCATATCTGGTCCTGAACAGACAAAGTCAAGAGATTTCATCAGAATGTTTTGGCTAGGGAAGAAACCTGAGTGACAGTTTTGGTGTTTTAGTCCAGGCACCTTTCTGAGATGTGAACTAGTAGCTACCATTTGTGGAAGGTGGCGGAACTTTGACACCGAAACTGTCGCAGTTCGAAAAAATTTGGGATGTGTCAAAGAACTTTTTCCTAATTCTTTACACAGTAGATTGCTTTGATAACATTGTTTATATCGAAATGATAAATAAAAATATACGGTCATTACTGAACAATAAATGTTAAAGAATTGATAAGTACTTGTACAGGCACCATCCTGAGATGTGTACTGGTACAGTAGCTGCCATCTGATGAAGGTGTTTCAACTTTGACACCGAAACTGTCACAGTTGGATAATTTGGGATGTCCCAAAGAACTCTTTTCTAATTCTTTACACAGTAGATGGATTTGATAACGTTGTTTATATCGAAATGATGAATAAAATCATACAGTCATTACTGAACAATAAACGTTAAAGAATTGACGAGTACTTGTACGTGTACACATACAAGAGAAGGAAGCTAGCAGTCCATTTAGGAAACAAAATCCAACCTTTCAAAGTGAATATCAAATCCTGTCGCCAGTAGACCACGCCAGAGTGAGCACACATCTTCAGTGGCCTTATCCAGTCCCATGCACAGCAATCCGTGTAAGTTGAGTCCTTTCTTCAGCACCTTCTTCTGACTGCTAGTCTCCTCCATCAAGACTTTCTCCTTGCTACTCATGTCCTTCAGACTCGACCTTTTGTCCATGACCTTCACCTTTCTCTCCGCTGTAAATGATGGCGACCTTTCGTAAGATAATGAAATGAAACAGTAGAAAAGATACCAATTGCGATACCAATACCGGATTACGAGGGAGCGAACTACAAGGAGGAATCAACAACAACGATACATGAGACTAGGCTCTTCAATGGACACTTACAAAGTTAGTTACTTCCCCAGGATACTTAAGGACTGGGACGAGCTACATCAGATCATCGTCTTTTTTGGAGCAGTTCAAGGTGGCTTTTAAAACAATTTAGTTCCCTTTTCAGGAACTGTACTGCATAGAGCTGTATATAACAACTCTATGCTTTACCCTCATCTAGATGCTGAACAGGCGTTGATCAGTATTACCATAGAAGTAGAAAAGAGTTATTGGATTTTTAATACATGATTATCCTTATCCGGACATCTTGGATCTACATGTACATGAAGAAAAATATATTAAAACAGCTACATACATGTTCATGTACAATCATTTGTACAGTTAACAACTAAATTATTCACACCCTTAGCAAGTTTTTTATTTTTGTTCAAGTACAGTGTATGTGAAAAATTTCATTGTATCAATTGATGTTTCTTGAGAATAGGACATGTTAAAGCCGAGTTACATCTAACAGTATCCGTTATATACCTCACTTAAGTAATCCAGCCCTCTGATTGGTCGAAATTGCATTCATAAACTTCAACTGTTCCTGTAAAATTCTCGGTAACCATGCATAAAACATTTCACTATTTTTAATAACCATGGTTATTAAAAAAATAGGTCAGCCTCCATGGTTACCCCATAGGTTTACATGTTAAAAAATGGTTTGAGCGATCGAGGATACCGTATGTGTGCGAAGGATTGGTCGGTAATTTCAATACAATTGAATCTCGATCGATCTTACCGACAATTTTATCTTGCATTGTTGACATGAAGACGAAAATAAACTTCCAAAAACAAAAAAACAACATCTGCCGATAGATCTTGATCTAAGTTCGTGCCAATATGCATTGCAAAAGTAAAAGAAGGGTCCGTTTAATGGAGCTTTTGCGAAGCATTCATCACGCCGAAGCCGGTTTCAATCCATTCTAATGTATATATAGTACAAAACTGCCAAGCACGTGAACAGCGCGCGATGGACGAGTGGTGTAAGGCATTGGTATAAGATTCATCACTCATTGTACGTAAGAGTTCGACTCTCACCTTCGACAAAAAAAAAAAGTATTTTTTATTTTTTATTTTTTAGTCTATTTTTTTTCGGCATATAAAAGTATTAATGACTGCTTTAATATTCGAGAAATAGTTGTTTTTATACGCTCTCGGGAAGGTTACAATTGGGCTATTCCCCTCGGCACGCCTCGGGTAATAGCACAATTCTAACCTTCCCTTGAGCGTATAAAAACAACTATTTCTCTCAAAGCAGTCATTAATACTATAATAAAGGCCCCAATTCAACCAGTCCATCTTTCATTCTTGAGAAAAACACAAGAACATCAATTGTACAAGGAGTATGAACAATTTATTAGTTTTAATACTGTATATAATCAAGAGAGCCAGGAGTGTCAAGTCTGACAGACATGAGCGCTTTACAAGAAACCACTATTATTATTATTATTATTATCATCCATGTATATTCAAAACTTATGTCAAGTGAGTGATGTTATGAAGGGCCACTGACTATAATGGATCTTTCTCGGTTTCATACATTGGCATCCACATGCGGGTATTTCATTCAAAATTGCTTCTCCCTACCGAGGTGAAGAAAAGCTAGTCTACAGGAAAAGGAATCTTCAGTGCAGTCTGCTAAACCATCAACTTCAAAAAAGCTGATCCATATGGGATATCAAAAAGTACAGAATCTTTATTTTTTTCTTCATAGAAGTGAAAAAGCATCATTCAATTAAATTATATATATATCTATCAGAGATTTTATGGGCAATCAAGATATTTTTTCATATTCATTCCACTAACCAATTCTAAGCAATGTTCACAAACAGTCAAACCTGCTATAGTGACCACCTGTCTACAAAGACCACAATTTTTGTTTCCCTTGAAATGATTTCTCATTGAAACATGTACTAAAGGAACTTGGACATAAAGACCACTTGCCTATAAAGACCACTTTTCTTGTCTCCCTTTGGTGGTCTTTATAGACAGGTTTCACTGTATATTCAACTATGATAATTTAGCTTAACTAGCCCAGTAAGTTAGTAAGACGTAGAGGGCGTAATAGTTAATTGTGAAATATATACATGTACATCATGATATGTCAGTCAGTCAGTCAGCGTTGACCTGTCGTTGCGACAGGTCCGTTACCACGAACGAGTAAAGTTACTTGAATTGCAGATACAGTGCAAGTGTTGTTTCTTTAGTCCTGTCAGACATTCAGTGATTGCGGAAGTAGGTGAATGAGAGCTAGTCCACGTTTTTCTTACACGATATACTTTTGTGAGAGCCTACTGAGAGATATAGTTGATGAATGATTGTCGAGAGCGTGGACCGGGTTTTGAGAGACTTCAAGGCAGAACGCTACCCCGGCAGAGCCTGGTTACGCCACAATAATTTAAGCACAGAGAATACTTACTTTCCCTTGGGTGAAGTGAATTCTGGACTATGTCTCTCTTTGGTCATGGTCTTGCTTGGTCTCTTGCCAGAGCTCTTGCTGCTGTCTTTACTTGGTTTAGTGACTGCATGGATGGTATCATACATGTACAACAAGAGGGATCAAACAAGGGATTAAAAACACAATCTTCAGACTGTTACATGCACTCAACTGCAAATTATGATTCTCAAGCAGTAACTTGGACCATGTAAAGAGAGAAATAAGTATTAAAATCATCCCTGCATTCAACTTGTATAAAAATGAATTCTTTAAAAAGTTGTTTTGGAATTATATTTTATTCCTTATATGTATTGTCATTGTGAATATCAAATAAGCATTGACTGATAAGCACCAGTTTGCCAAAATATCTCATCATTCCTTCTAGATTCTTTTCTGTTTTGAAGAAAACACTTCCAAAGTAGAGTTAAAAGCAAATTTGCATATAAAAGAAAGATTTACATGTACATGTATTAATAACATCAATAATAAAGAAATTACCATTTTCTTTCATATTGTAAAATCAATATACATGTACAAATCATTCCGCACTTACATGTACATGTACATGTAAAATACTACTATGCACAATAGGCATTTATGAGCAATAAATGTGCACCAACCTGTTTTCTTCTCTTTGATTTCCGGCAGTAACACGCCATACTTTTGGATGATGTCACAGATGAACTCCTCCACCGTCATCTTGGATGGATGCATGGTGCTGAAGAACTCTAGGAGCAGGTTTCCTGGACAGGTGGAGAGGATCTGTTCTTTGGAGAGGCAGATCTCAGGGTGGGCTGCATCGGAGTCCTGGCTGGGTTTGGATTTGAAGTGGGAGCACCTGACACAGCTGTTGAAGATGTCCTCTAGGGCTGCCGAAACCTGCTGGCCCAGGGATAGGTGCTCAGAGTGCTCGCGAGGCAAGAGCTTGTGTCTCAGGTAACCTACCAGGGCCTCCATTTCCGATGGTTCCGTGAGGAGGGAAGGAGTGACTGTTGCAATGGTCAGAACATCCTCTCCGGTGACACTCATCATGGAGTCATTGTCAAACGGAAGGGATTCATCCAAGATCCTACTATTTAAGAGAGCATGCTCGATATCCTCAACCTTGGCCTTACTGCGCACTTCAATCACCGCATATCCCTGAACGAAATTCTTTTTACTGGTGGGTTCTGGCTCACTGCTGGGTTCTTGGCTGGACCCTTCACCCTGATTGGCATCTTGGTTTTCTGGAAGACTGGTTGAGGGTTCAGGTTCAGTAGTCCTTTCAGGTTCATGATATTCCACAGCAGATGGGTCCTGGGGCGTTTGCTCAGAAGCACCCTCTTCAGTGGTGGTTGTTGTTGTTGCATCAGCTGGTGGCAGTTCTGTGTCCTGTGCCTGTTGGTCTTTAGGGTCTGCATCAATGGCAGTTGGTGGCTTCACCTCTTCCTGGACAGGAATCCAGATTTCATCTCTGAAGAGACCACCAGCTTGATTACAGGCCTTCAGAAGTGCCCTCCTTGCTGCTGGTTCCTCCATGTTTGGTGGTAACCCTGAGATCACCACTAGCCTGGAGTATGCAGTCGGTGTCTTCACACTCTGGTGTGCATCCCTGATGGCTGTCCTCATGGACGACTCCCCCTGCGGATCCTGGCTGTCAAGGTATCTCATGATAACATTCAAGGTAGAAGCGCGATGAAACCAAAGCATATCCTCTGGATTGTTTGCTCCATTGGATGATGCTTCACCACTGTCGCTCTCGCTGTTGTGGGGAGTCCTCTTCTGCTGTCCAGCTCTCTTCATCTTCGGTCGACGTTTGCGGGATGTGACCTGAGGGCTGGACCGTACCAGCTGCTTGGGGCTCACCATTGAGGCTGGTCGGAGAGAGGGAAGAGTAACCGTTACTGAGATAGAAGTCGAACCTGTCTGAGGCGCCGAAGGGAACTGATCAATCTCCGACATAGCCAGGCAGAGTTCCATGAGGGCTTGGAAGTAGGATGTGTGCTGTCCTGGAGTCACTGGGCCACTCCCAATCACAGCCAAAAGTGCTTCCTCATCGAACAGCTTCCCAAGCTCACAGCGGAACCTTCTCAACTCTGCCAGCACCGACTGCGGAACCATCGTGATGGGAGAGGCGCTTGCTCCATCCTCATCATCCACCTTGCGGATGAGCCTCAAGATCTGAGCCATAATGAGAAACAGGTGCTCCTTGATGACGGCTGGCACTGCTGCTCGACCAACATACCCACTGAGCAACTCCAGCACCCTGATATACACAGCCGTCGTAATCTTCATTGGCTTCTTCAGGATCTCCTCCCGTTCCCCGATGCTCTCTGCCGCAGGGCGCAACATCACATTGGCATGGCACTTGACCCGTTGGTCACCCATCTCCTGCCGACAGCCAATCAGTGACTCCACGAATACCATGGCCAGTGGGAACTCTGCAGGCAGCCCATGGAGGGTCATGACGTAGTTTGGAGCTGGGGACACGCCTGCTTTGACGTGGATCTTATTGCATGGTAGCACCACGGATGGATAGGGATCGACGACATGGGAAGACGGAGCTGTGAGTCCTCCTGAGGTGTTGAGGGTGGCATCGGCAGGATAGCTCACCACCTCTACCGGTGCCACACTGCCAGACTTCTTGACCCTCTGTCCCATGCCATAGCAGCTGACCCTTGCCCAAGGGGCTTGGTACAGAGATGACCTAGTCATGACAACAAGAAAGTAAGGAACATACAGTACATTATATTATAAACTACAAACTTTTTTCATTTACATTACTGTTCTTAATGCAAAAATAGCTTACTATAAAAAAACGTCATCAAATTCAATTAATTTATTAAGAGCCAGCATTTCCATTTTTATTCATTTTATTAAATCAGAATTAGTGTGCTATTCAATATGAAACCATCTTTTAAAGCGGTACTTCACTACTTGTACATGTAGCTACTTGTGCCCTCTATACAGCCAACAATGCCTAAGCAGTACCCATTGATCCCCCATGGTCCCCTTTTTCTTATCTTATTTGAGAGCTGATTTGATGAGATAACCACCTGCCAGTGACCAAGCAAGAAGGTCTAATCCCTTCTGGGGGTGTTTCAGAAAGATCCTAAGTTGAACTTATCTCTAAGTTGGACTTAACATTTATGGAAAGCCGTTAGCATCTTTGAAAATATTTTGTAAAAGATATTTTAAAAGGCAGAAAATGTTGATTCAAATCATTCATGTATTCTATTATCATGGGAGATTTCATGTTCTTGATGTGGAATTTATAAAAAGGTCTAAAATAATTCAATTTTTGCTTTTGAATGTATTTTTTTAAAGGCTACAAATGGCTCTACATAATATTTGGGTCGAACTTAGAGTTAAGTTCGACGTAGGATCTTTGTGAAACCCCCCCCCCCTCCCTGGTCAAACTAGTGCAGATAGGCTTTAATAGAAAGCAGAATGAAGACCTACAATGTACGAGCATGTCAAGACTTACTCTCTGTGAGATGAAAGGATATCTCTCTTACAGCTGACAACTAAACCCACGGCATTCTTGAAGAAAAAATTGTTGTTGATCTTTGCTCCAATGGTAATTGACTCTACATCGAAAGCTGGGAAGGGGTCCTGTGAAGAAATAGTCAGGTTGTGTGAATAAAAAAGGGTACAGATTTGTGGTCACAACAAATTACTTAAATTTGATTTATCTTCTGACTCTTTGATACTGTGAAAACTGGCCACCTTTACAAAGAGTAATTAAAGAATGGGTTCATTTTCAGCTACTTCAATCCAATTGACAAATATCTCTACAAAGAATTTTTTTTCTTCATAATATGAATATTGCACAGTTTGAATAATAACTAAAAACTAAAAATCCTTCAAAGCATGATTTATGGTTATGTTAAAGATAAAGGTGAGTTCTGGTCATGCAATTGTATTGTTACAGAAAAGGTGTGGAATGGATCAGAAAAAGTTGATCATGTAGCATGTAAGTATTGGTGTGCACTGCAAGGTTCTGGAGTCATCAAAATCAGTTATAAATTTGGCCCAGTCTTGGTAAAGTAAAAAGCATTGTACACAGATAGGATTACACAAATGGTGTCCGGGCTAGCTTACCTTGATGTCCTTATCTTTCTACGCTCATTACTCAGCCAGTATACATTTTCTTCCAAAACCGTTTGGCACACAACATTTATTTGTAATCTTAAACATTCAGTGTAAGTTTTGTTTGATTCTGTGAAAATTAATTTTCTTTTTTACCTTTAAGTGATATACCTGTAACACAACTTGGGAATGTCTAACATCAGAAGAGTTTATCATTCTGCATTCAAGATCCATGCAGAAACATGACATTGTTGCAATACGTAGAATTGAAACACAATTCTACAAATCAAATACATTTACCTGAAAGATTCCACATATCTCATTTGTCAGCTCCACGAGATGCCTCTCTCCTTGCTGTGAAGCTGTTGCTATGGAGATAGCAAGCTCCCTCTTGAGGTGTGGCAGCTCTTCCGCTCCGTAGAAGACGGCGGTCAGACTCCTGGTGATGATCGGAGCCAGGCTGTGACCCACGCCGCACGAGGTCAGGAGGGAGCGGTCATGGAGTCGTCCATTCTGCTGCGATGACGTCAGCAGCTGGTTTGACAGGAGCTGCAGGTGTGAGATGTGTTGTCTGGTGCCACCATTGGCAGCGAGCGGAGAGGCAGAGGAGGGGTGTTGCTCGGTCGGTGAGAGTGAAAGGGTACATGGGATGGCTTCAATGACCTCGGGGCTTTGGCAGTGAGAGAGGAACTTGGTAAGGGCTGTTCGACAGTAGAGGCGGGCCAAGGACGATTCCAGTTGCAGAAGTTCCCTGTGTTTCAAAAAAATTCAGATAGCACAGAATCAATATGGATTTGGTTTCAAGCACAACAGCTACTTCTTGTTCTTTTATACCCATCTCTAGAGCCCCTCAATATAAACGGTTGCATTTGTTTAAAGAAACTGACTTTGAAATGTTCAGAATTTTACTTTCAGGTCTTTAAATAAAATTATGGAGTTGGGATTTAAATTTACAAACGTTTATGCAAGAGGCCTATACATGCAGTTAGTAAATTTCAGTGTAGATATAAAAAGATTTACTGCTGACTTTGGTTGGACATATTTTGAGATTATGAATCGTGATAAAATTGTAAAATTACAAATACAGGGTCCCGTCTTAAAAAGACTTATGATTGATCCAAATCAATCGCAGGTCCTCCAATCAATCGCAAGTTTGCAGTCTCCTATCTCTTATGTGCATAGTTGCGATTGATATCAACTCTTTGTAAGACGGGGCCCAGGTACATGTATGCACAGTTACAGACTTGATGGTGCATCGATCATACCTGTGCAGCTGTATATTTGAGATGTCAATGGACGTTGTCCCGGTCAATGAGCTGCTGACCCGTCGCATGCCAGCTAGAGGGCGCTCTAACATGTCTAGTGGGTACCAGTATCTCACCAGCACACCCTCGCTCCTCAGGTAAGACTCCACCTGAACTAGTTCATGTTGCTGTATAAAAACGAAAGGATTTGTTTATTATTTATTTTCATTCTAATTAACATACAGTGTATGTCCAGAGAACTTTCACTGCATTCTATTTAAAATAAATGTCTCAATAACAAATCCCCAAAATTAAGCGTAAGTCTAACTTACTTGCAAAGCCCCATTGGTAAGAGAGAGAGAGAGAGAGAAAGAAAGAGAGAAAGAGAGAGAGAGAGGTAGAATAAAAGCTAGATCTAGTTAAATTAATTTAACTGTTAAAACTTTCATCCTATCAAAATCCTAGGAAATTTAGGAGACTAGTGGGGCGTTGCAAGAAAGTTGGCTTTGAAAAGAAAGTTTTCTTTTATGAGGCTGATAATAAAATAAAACAGAAAAATATTTATCATCCTGTGTGACTAAAAGTTCTTATTCATTATTGAATAAACACTAAACGCTTTATAATGCTCCTCAGAATAAGAATGAAGTCCTTGTTCAAGATTTGTAATAATATTCCTTGTGTAAGTAAGCTTTGAAAATGTCTCTAAGCACTTTACAGATAAATTATTACCCCCTTCATCGGATTCAGGCTCGCCTGCACACAATGTATACACATTCTCCACTTCCTGGGGAGCATTCCAGTCAGTGTTACAGACGTTCACAATGCTGAGCAAACTACATTTAACCTTCGCATCCTTCCAGGTAATAATTTAACACCTGGGTTGATAGTAGCAAATGTAGATTAACGTCTTGCCAAAGGACGTTAGTGCCGGGCTGGAATTTGAACCCATATCTTATGATCTACAATTGAGGGAATCAATAGCGATCTACTGTACATGTATAAGAGGTATTCATGAAGTATAACCATAAACAATATATAAGACAACAACTTGCACAAGCAATGTAGAGAAATCAAAGATTCCCATCACAAGTCAAAAGTTACAAGATCATATTGAAATAAGGACGGAAAACCAAACATTGTCAACCAATAGCAATAAAGTGTTATCATAAGGTAAATATAAATCAGCTTTTTCCACTGTAAAATGGCATCAATGGCAAAATTTGCCACTCCTAAATAGTTTTTTTAAGAAGGAATTTTAAATGAAGCAATGTGATCGATGATTACCAAATCTAACCAAAAATGCAAATTTGTATGTGAAAATAGTGATTATAAATTGAATACTGCATTGCCAACACACATCTGCACTGCACCTCAACAGTACGACAATACACCTGACGGTGGCCTGTACTGCTACTGAAGAAGAAGAAGAAGAAGAAGAGTTTAGAGAATTAGTGAATATTTACAATTAATTGATCTTATTCATGAACATCCAATTTAAATTTTCTCTGATTTTTTGCTCATTCTACTTATGTACAATGTGTAGTTCCAAACATTCTGGATCAAAATACAATAAAAAATAACATCTCTAAAAGGAGAAAATGAACTGCTACGCATTGCTTGGCTCTTACCGAATCCACATTCAGGACGACCCCCGAAAGTCCTAGGGTCTTCAGCATGCTCCGGATGGCGTACTTGGGCACCAGTGTCCCTCCTGCTACACTGGTGCTCTCCTCACCCAGGGGTCTGATCATCACCGTGGTGCCCTTGCGCACCTTGTCGATGGTGAACTTGGCGGCCTCCTGCTTGACGTCGTCGATGGTCGGGAGGTGGAGGTCTCGGGGGATGCCACCGTTCTCCTCGTACAGGAACTCCACTGTCTGACGGGCGATGTCCGTCATGCCTGGGAAGGTGAACGTGACATTGAAATTGTCATTTTCATATAAATATAAAAAATGTATAAATATATACATGTATATATAAATATATATATATATACGGTGTGTTGGCTCAGTCAGTAGAGTATCCGCCTCACAACCGGGAGGTCGTGGGTTCGAACCCCGGCCGCGTCATACCAAAAGACGTTAGATGACGGGAGTTGCTGCTACCTTGTTTGGCATTCAACAATTAAGGATAAAGCAACGTTGATCTGATGCTGCTCAGTGGCTGCCGGGCTCACGATCAATTACGCAAAAAGAATTTCCATTTTCAGTTTAACTTAATTAAATTTGGAGTGGAATTTAAAAGATTATTATTATTTCATTTATTATTTATATATATATATATATACATGTATATATACAGTCAAACCTGCTTTAGTGACCACCTATATACATGTACAAAGACCACATTTTTTGTTTCCCCTCGAAAATGGTTTCTCATTGAAACATGTAGTAAAGGAACCTGTACATAGATACCACTTTTCTTGTCTCCCTTGGGTGGTCTTTATAGACAGGTTTCACTGTACAGTACAGTATATATATATATATATATATATATATATAAATATATCCTTCTTCACTTTGACAAGGGTTCTAAGAAGGTGCATATCTGTTGTCTCACATTTGCAGCCATTGCTACAACAGCATCCTTTGGCAATCAGAAAACTAGCAGCTAGCTTTAGTCTGCCGGTACAAGTCTGAGGACGGTGTCTAAATCCTCGACATTAAAACTGTTTCACAGGTAGAATGTCTCTGGAAGTCTTTTAGAATTATTCAAACCATTCCTTTTTAAACAGTATCATATGTACTGTATAGAGAAGTAGATCATAAAGCGTGGAATTAAAGGGACTCTGTAACATTGTCTCTGATTCTAAAACAAAATCCTGGATTTAGCTCATGCTGCAATGATAATTATAAACCTTTTGGTCAGTCAGGAACCCCATGACTTTTACAAGCCGATCGCCTGTCTGATTGTCGAGATATTTATGATTGGAAATCAAAATTTCAATTTTCGTTTTCCCAACAGTTTTTATAACACTACAGTCTATTGGGGAAAAAGAGTAAGGTAAAACCGGTCACTCAAAGATCTTTACTTTTTTGAAGCACTTCAAGATCATTTTGAATGTACACCATATCACAGACACTGATAACACGTAGGGCTGTGCATCTAAGATGTAACATTGTTAAACGATCCCTTTAACAGTCTCATATGTATAGAGAAGTAGATCATAAAGCGTGGAATTAAGGGTAGTTAAACATGACTAAGAGAGTCTTGTCAAGACAGTCCCCTTAAAGTTTGGCCAAGGGAGAATAGACCTCCCTGCAAGGTCACTGACAGGTGGTTAACTCATCAAATCAGCTCTCAATTAACATTAAAAAAAGGGGATCAACAGGCACCGATTAGGCATCGTTTGCTATATAGAGGGCGCAAGTAGCTATAAATAGTGCAGTGTGGCTTTAACCCTTACTGTACTGGGGGGGGGGCCTGGGAGGCCCCCCCCCCCTCGACATTTTCTTAGATTGCGCCGCAACCGCTTGGAATTTTGAATTGTCGTTTCATGACTTTTTTCCCTCAAGTCTTACGCACATTTTGATACCATTTTCGTCGAAATCGGATATACCTGTAAGGCGTTACATAACAATTAGTATGCGCATGTCATCAAAAAAAAAAAAAAAAAAAAAAAAAAAATCGCATCAAAATTTGCATAAATTATCATTATTAATTACATTAAAACAACTTGTTTGTGTTAGAAAAGAATTTTCATATGAATAATGAGTTTCAACATTCAAAAAGTGGAGTTTGACACGTTTTCTGTAAAATGCATAAAATTAGCGCATTTTGCATAATTAATTAGGCTAACGACAAAAATTTGCATATTCAGAAAAAACTAATTATACCATCTTGTTCCTTACGTAAATATCTACAAACATGCAAATTTTCGTGTTCATCGGACAATCGACGGCCGAGATCATAGGGGGGGGCCTCCCAGGCCCCCCCCCCCAGTCAGAGGGTGCTCAAAATAGCCCAGTACAGTAAGGGTTAAAGTAAACCAAGACTCTTGCTCCTCACCCAGCTGCAGAGCTCCTTTAATCTGTTCCAAACCGGACCTCCTTTCAGCCTCGTTCCTGAAGCGTCTCCTGATGACAGGGAACACCTTGAGTTCCCAGGCCCGGACTAGGAGGGCCACATGGTCCTGCTGGCCCTCCCCGTCCCTCTCCTCCTCATCAGAGTCGTCCAGGGCCGAGGACAGGGCAGTCTGGTGAGGGGAGAGACCCGTCGTGGTGAAGTCAGCGTAAGCACCGGGTAAGCTGTAGAGCTGAGACTCGGTGATGTCATACTCTGTTTGAATAAATGAATAAAAGAAATATAATACTTGTTAAAATGAAACATCTTTAATAATTTTCAGGTACTGTAAAAAAAAAGTCTGCATCATCGCGAAAGGGAAAACTATGACATAACACCCATCAAATTTTTGTCTCTGTTCATTTTCACCCTGCTTTTATGGTAATGTGCATTATTTTGACAACCTTCATCATACGTGATGATCAACGATGCTTCAGAAAACTGTTCACGGCCAAGTTCACGTATTTTTGTTTGTCTGATCATGGAATACAGGTGTACTTTGTTTACATTGATGATCCTAGCAACTCTCATGAAGCATAACTGCAAGTATCACTGAAATGAATGTCTGCTCATGGATTATAAACAAACTGCACCACCTAGAATCGAACTACAGACATGAGCGTCCACCTCACATCTGGGAGGTCGTGGGTTTGAAACCGATGAACACGTCCCACTGGAAACTGGAGCCCTGCACGGGATGAGCGCGTCTTTGCCTTGGCTGAGATATAATCATCTGAATAAATATATTTCCTATGGGAACTCGGTGTTATATGCTCTGGCTCCTAATGGTTAACTTTTGATGCTCTTTCGGAAAATGAAGAAAAAATTGAGAAATTCTAAAAAAAGATTTTTATGACATCACAGCTTCGGTACTCTATAGTAACAGTATGTGTAAGTCAGAAGCTAAAACCTACCTTTCTTTGGTTTCTGCGGTGTTGCCAATTTGAAGGAGATCCCTGCCACAGCACTGACGGTAGGAGACGCCTGGTCAGCGGATGGGGTCGTGGGAGGGGAACCCTCCTTGTCACTGTCACTCTCCGCCTCCAGATGGAATGGAAGAGCCCCAAAGTTGGCAGTGATCTCTTCCAGAGAGTCCGAGGACTCTAGGGTCGCCGTGTGGTGGCAGTGGCCATCCACGTAGGCGAAGGGTCGACTCCCAAAGTTGGCTCGAACCTGGGTGTTCTGCTCAAGAAGAGGTGGAATAATAATAATAACAATAAATAATACTCAGTTTTTATATAGCGCTTATTAGAATCACTAAGTGCTTCCAAACTTGAAGATTATTACCCCGGCTTTAGCTGTGCTGCCATTGAGGCGCTCTAGCATTTCAAAGAATTAATTCCTGCCAGGTACCCATTTACATCACCTGGGTTGAGTGTGGAAGGAAAACATGTTGCAGGCAATCAATGTCATCTAAATGTCACAAATTTATATACATAGGCCCTGTCTTGCAAAGAGTTGCGATTGATCCACCTAAGAAATCCAAAAACCGCGTTGGCTCTCAAATCCATAAGACACGCCGGCCCAGACATCTGGAACTCTCTGCCCATTGTAATAAGAAACCTTAGGACATTGTATTCATTTAAGAAGGCAGTTAAAACTATGTTATTGTCTAAGTATTGATCCTGTCGTGTGTAATTGTACTGTATTCATGTTCGTCTGTACATTGATTGTATATTCAACAATGATATGTAATCGTCCATGACCTAGCATCGTTTAGCCATTCACGAATGAACCTGCATTCAATCAGCAGATGTTCGAGATTTATTGTATTATTACCAAGTACGCTCCTTCTCTCCCCTTTCCTTTTCTTCTCTGCAAGTCAGTCTTTTCTATTTGTATTTGTTATTATTATTGTTGTTGTATCTAAGTTGAGGGCTGCGGGCACGTCAAGCTACTTTGCTTATTTCTGTAGCTCTCCTGCATCTAATGTATGTTAATTATGCATTCAATATATTTGTTTAAATTTGTTTATTATCTGTATAAAATGATATACACTTTTTATCAACGATATCAACTCTTTGTAAGACAGGGCCCTGTTGTCTATACCAGGGCTTTTTTTAGCAATTAAAACAATTATGGGTTACTGGAAAAAGATCTTGCTTTCAAGCAAGTTTATCTGTTATCACAGGTTATACATGTGATACAGTGAATCTTTAGGGAACAATCACTACATGTAGATCGAATACTTCCTTCTCACCCAGCTTTGGACTGAACACAAAAAACGTCCCATGGACATGAATTCTCATAAATTTCCCAAATAGCAGAAAGTCTACTTGCATGAATATTAATGGTTCAGTACAAGAATATAAAAAATACATTGTAAATGGACATGTACAGACAGTAGTTACCATTTTCTTGCAATTTCATACAAAGACCACATTTTAAAGGGATTGGGTAACTTTGTCTCAGATTCTGAAACAAAATCCTTGATTCAATTCATGCTGCAATGATAATTATAAACCTTTAGGTCAGTCAGGAACCCTGTGACTTTTACAAGTTGATCGCCTGTCTTATTATCAAGATATCTATGAGTGGAAATCAAAATTTCATTTTTTTGTTTTCCTATGGTTTTGATATTTACTTTTGTGAGGCCCTTCATGATAATTTTTTAAGGGCTTCAGTAATACACCATATCACAGACACTGATAACACATAGGGCCATGTACAGGTGTATCTCAGATTTAACATTGTTAAAGGATGCCCTAAAGCAACCACAATCTGACCAGACTTTGATTAGGGTTGTCTTACTCCACTATTTTTCAATTCAGGAAAACTACTTTGAGATGTTCTTTTTTTATTTAAGGCCAAACTTGCCACACTTTAAAGCCCCACTGTACTACTTGTAGCTGCTTGCTCCCTCTATATAGGAAACAATGCCTAATCGGTGACCATTTGTCCCCCATGATCATCTTTTTCTCATGTTAATTGAGAGCTGAGTTGATGAGATAGCCACCTAATCCCTCCTAGTCAAACTAGTACGGAAGGCCTTTAAATTCAACCCTTAAACCTACCTTCTTCTGAACGTGTACCACCGGCCACAGCCCTCCGCTGACCTCCTCCAGGGTCGGCGCAAACTTGTGACCGTTCAAGGTCATGAAGATGTGACCTGCTCGACCCGACCCATTCAGGGGTGGAGGGTCATCGTTCTGCTGCCAGCCCATACCGATGACGTCTCCGACCTTGAGGGTGATGTCCAGACGGACGCTCTTCCATCGCAGGAGACTCGCCCCGCTGTAATGGATGGCATGCCCACTCCTGTATGTAAGAGAAGAAAAATATTTCAATGGCTGACTTTTTTGTTTGTTAAAAAGAGAAGGTTGAGCTCTGGGAAGAGGTGAAAAATAATTTGTGAGCGTTATCATTGTTATTATGCAAGTGTGGATGAACATCAGATACAAAATGTTCCCTGAAAAGCATGGCTCTTCAAATGCCTTAATATTCTAGATACATGTATGTCATGTAACAGCATAAAAATTGGGAGAGATTTTTATGCCACAAGTTTGTGTAGTCCCCTATACATTTTTCTGTGTACAGTGCTTGTAACTTTACCAAGACTGGGCCAAATTTCTTGTCATTTTGAGGATTCCAGAACCTTGCAGTACACACCAATACTTATACACATGCTCCATGATCAACATTTCCTGATCATTCCACACAGTTTCTTTCACAATGCAACTGCATGACCAGAACTCAACTTTATCTTTAAGTACCGTAAATGTAAATTGAGATTGACTTTGCTTAAATAAATAAATAAATGTGGTGTGCAATAAAATAGCAAAAAATATAGGTATTTTATATAAAGTTCATTTTTATCCCTTAAATATTTTGAAAATGTTGTATCATACTTTAATAACACCATATTTTAATTACTGTATAGTTGCATGGGCAAATTTTAATAAAAATGATGTGTTAAGGTTACTTAAGCTTCAAAAGAAAGCAATACGCATTATAACTCATTCCCAATATTATGCTCACTGTAATCCCTTATTTTGTAAACTTGGAATTTTGAATGTAATCGATATGCATAATTTTTATATTGCAGTTTTCATGTTTTCATGTTTTAATGGCAACTTGCCTTCCTTTTTATCTACATGTTTTAACTTGAATTGTGATGTGCATAGTTTTAATACTAGAAATGCCCTAAATTATCACCTCCCCAAGATTAGAACGACTTGTATGAAAAATTCACTATTTTTTAAAGGACCATTAATATGGAATAGTATACCTCAGGAAATTAAAAAATGCAAAACTCTCAATCTTTTTAAAATCAAATATGAACAATTTCTATTAAACAAGTATAATAATCAGTATCAATAGTATCGGCCAATTTTTGACATTTTTTTATATACTCTAATCGTGCATGATAGTAAGTTTTAATATGTTCTTTGTTTTTTGTTCTGTTCTTTTGTTCTGTTCTTTTGTTCTCGTTTTCATGTATGTGTGTTTTTAGGGGTAGGCTTTTATTTAAGGAACTTCCCTCCTTTCTGCCTATCCCAAATGCTCTTATAAATTGCCATTGTATTTGTTATCACTTTCTTGTGTCTTTTTATATTTATAACTCCATTCTGTATTTGTATGTTTTAGATGTTTTTATGAAGAGTATTGAATAAAACTTTGAATTTTGAATTTGTTTTTCTTTTCATTTCATAAACACTGAAGTACCCATCTGTTATCATTTGAATGTTTCTCCCCTTGAAAATCTATTCTCTTTGATCTTTTATGGCAGCACTAGCACTACAGCTCTGTATTTTGTAATAGATAATACTGCATTCTACCTCACGTCGGCAAATTCAACAAATACATTAGGCCAAATGTACTGTATGACTTCCTTTTTTGTGCTTGACATGTGCTTCAGCAACATTTGTTCTGGGCTTCAATTTGTCAAAATATAGGGTTAAAGATAAAGGTGAGTTCTGGTAATGCAATTGCATTGTGAAAGAAAAGGCGTGGAATGGATCAGAAACAGTTGATCATGTAGCATGTAAGTATTGGTGTGCACTGCAAGGTTCTGGAGTCATCAAAATTATAATAAATTTGGCCGAATCTTGGTAAAGTAACAAGCACTCACATAGAAAGCTATATATGGGACAACACACATGGTGTCGGGGCTAGTACTACCTTGATTTCCTTGTCTTTCTATGCTCATTACTCAGCCAGTATACATTTTCTTCCAAAATTGCACATGTCATTTATTTGTAATCTTGAACATTCAGTGTAAGTTTCGTTCGATTCTGTGAGAATTAATTTTCTTTTTTTACCAGAACTGGAGTGTATCTTTAAGGAAGTAATTGGTTTTTAGTTAGGTTTAAGGATTAGGGTTTGGTCCAAATTTGAAGTTGAATATAGAAATGGACGGGAGAGTGATTTTACTCAGAGCATCATAAACATGAGCGCAATACCAATTTATTCTTTCATACACTATGTAATAACCGAATGTGCTTACTCTACTCAACCCTGTGAAATCAATCCTTGACAGCAATAATTTAGAAATATCAGTCCATAAATAATAATAATAGGCATTTATATAGCGCCCTCTATCTAGAAATTTTATTCTGAGTGCACAAATTAATCATTACCCCGGCTTAAGCCTAGCTGCCATTACAGCGCTCTAGCATTTGAAGGAATCAATTCCTGCCAGGTACCCATTTACCTCACCTGGGTCGAGTGTGGCAAATGTAGATAAATGCCTTGTCAAAGGACATTAGTGCCATGTCGGGGATCTAACCACGACCTTCAAATTTCAAGTCAAGTGCTTAAACCACTCGTCTACGACACTTCTACATAGGTCCCTACGTACCTCTCTGAGCAAAGCAAACAGTAAGCAAAACTTCTCTCTCTATTATGAGCAAGAGCGCACCCTACCCTTCCCAATTTCACACTTTTCAGGGGGTTGTTGGGCAGTAACGGCAATCAAAAAACGAAAGAAAGAAAGCACATCTCCTACTCACACAGGGAAGAGTACAGTCCCAATAGGGTTGGTCCAATTGTTGGCACCATCCTTCTTCTCAGCGGGCGGGGCCAGGCCCATGGATACGTTAGGACCAGAGTCTTCGGCAGCATCGCCATAGGAACAGATCTCAAGCTCCCAGTAGAATGAGGTTGCCTGAACGCAATGGAAGGAAGCAAAAAGTCAATCAAAAAGGATATTTTATGTACATGTTTAATCGCATGGTCCGAAGTACAGAATAAAATAATATGAAACAACACCTTGAGAATTTCTTGCAAGTCTTTACATTTTTTTATAAAGGCCACAGGCCAATAATAATAATTAAATAATAAAAACGGTGCTTATGATGCGCTTACCAACGACATATAATTGAAAGAGGGAAATATTACTAGGAGAAGATATGTTATATAGAAGAAAGTCCATGTTTATACACATTATTTATTAAATAGAATTAGGATATTTTAATGCAAGGGAAAGAAGTTTTCACCTTTCTTTAACTGAATCAAATCAACACTTTTTCAGTCCATACATTAAAAATAACAATGTTCCCTTCTTGCAAAGCGCACGTCTCATTATGATGTAATGATGTCTCTACATGGTTCTAAAGAGCTTTAGGAAATTATTACCTCAGCTATAGCTCTGGCAGCGCAGAGTGCATATAAAGGAATAATCCTACCAGATACCCATTTTTCATCACCTGGGTGGAGTGTGGCAAATGTAGTTTAACATCCTGCCAAAGGACGTTAGTGCTGTAGCAGGGATTAGAACCCTGAACCTAGTCATTCACAATTCAGAGACTTATCCAATGGACCACCCTACCTCTAAATTGTCTAATCTCTATCACTTCTTAATCCAGCCATTACAAAACTCCAAAATTGAAAAATGTCAACATAATTTGTGTTCTTGCTCTTTCACCAGGCTCACACATTTCATAGGTTTAGTTTACCTGATGAGGCACCGCCTGAGTCGCATAGCACATGACGCCGGCTGGTAGACCACCTGAGGTCACGGGGTCACCCAGGAAGGTCAAGGAGGTCATGCACCGAGAGAAGAGACACGCCTTGACTGGTGGGTAGGAACGGCTGGGGTCGAGGGTCATGTCGTGGACCTGGAAACAGTGAGTTATGATGAAATATATGAGTAGAAGTAAGCCTTGAACCACAAAGATTTTTTTTTAACCCTTTGACCATAGGCACCATGTGATCCCTGTATAAAGCTAATAGCAAAGAAGGAAATCAGTAGTCAATTGATTAATCAATCAATATAGTTTCTCCTGTACTCATTTACAACGCTGGTAATTGAAAAAAAAATGGATTTCTATTCTTATATTTTAGGGTAAAAGTAAAGTGAATGGCACCAGACTTCTTATTTAGCTTTCACAGTGTTTGCCAATCACCTTTGGTTACACGACTAACCATGAAATGATTCTGATCATGATCTGTTGCTTCCATGGAACGAAGCAAACTAGAAAAAACTAAATCGCTCTCTGCTCCTGAAGTTTATAACTCCTGGGGAGTGTTTCACAAAGACTAAGATCGACTTTAAGTTGGACTTAACTATGGCAGGCCGTTCATGCCACTAGTTCCTCCAGCCATTCCTGCCATTGGTTTCTCAAGGGATTATTAAAGGAAAAAAATATCATCTAAAGATCATAATTGAGAGACCAATGGTGAGAGCAACCAATGGCATGAATGGCCTGCCATAGTTTAGTCCAACTTAAAGTCGATCTTAGTCTTTGTGGAACACCCCCCCCCCCCCCCCCCCCCCTGTATCATTATCATTGTACAGTCCTCCCAATCTACTTACACTAGAGATGCTTTGCTTGGCTGGAGGTGTAGGGGGCCTGGCACAGTCTCTATACAGCATTCTCAGCTTCTCACACTGGGCTCCTAGTACCTTCTGCCTCTCACCTGCCACAGAAACATAGAGATACAATGTGTCACAGGGCATGTACATCAAGATGGTACCGTATGAATACGTCTCTTTCCCGCCACCAGGGCGTTTCATGCTGCTTTACATGTACAGTATATGAGTAATAACGCTCTTTTGCCTCTAAACAGACAAATTAGCCTTTCTTTACAGGAAATAAAAGGTATTTGAAATATTAAGAAGCTCTTATTGTACACCTATGGACTATTTTACATTTAGCATGATATTACATGTATGTAAAATTAATCACAAGGATTTTGACAGCAAGATAAACAAGAAACTAAAAAAAGCCTAATTGTGAAATATTTCTGCGCAATATGGATTTTTGTAGTAAAATGGTGAACTGATGAAGAAAGGGTGTTTGTTATTTCAGGATAATCATTGGTTGACAATTAAAGGGATAGTTGAGTTCTTGTTTCAGACCGCAAATGCCTTCAAAGTGCATGGTTATTGCTCTTATTCTTAATTATGACATTTCTAGTGCTCTTTTAGCCAACAAAAAGCCAACATCGGCATTGGCTGGAATAGAACGTATAAGGCGCTATTTCGTTTTTTCAACGGCTGGTTCAAATTTTTCAAATCGTTATATTTATGGATATTTCAGCCGTCTTTGAACCGATTTTGATCAAACAAGGGTGACTTTGTCATCTAAATTGTATGTTCTTTCATATTTGATACTCAGTTTTTTTGTTATCTCACAAAAAATTATTTTGTGTAGTGCCCTCTGCAACAGAACTCAACTATCCCTTTTATACGTGCTAACTTGAGACGATTATTACAGTGAACTGCAGAAGGGATTTGAACAAACCTGTTCCACATTGTTGGGAGAGGGACTTGAGCACCTCCAAGGGGCGGTTGGTCTGCATCACAAACTCAGAGGCAAAGTTGGAGTCGTTCATATGATGGGCAAGAACTGCACAAGCTCTGTTGGTAGGCAAAAGACAAAGGTTCCAAATATAATAGAAAACATTTTCTATACAAAGATTCTATTTGCAGGGTGAGCTTAATCTATCACTAAGTCTGCCAATTAAATCAAACAATGATTTAGTAGCAGCCTGCAGAAGAGTAATCTATACAATTCTACTGGTAATTGTAGAATGAAATAGAGACTTTCTTCTGTAAGTTAAAATGCAGAATAACTGTAGAAGCATATGAAAACACATGTTTAACAAAAATGTTGTATCTTTATCATTCAATTTACAAATTAAAAATGTCCCCAAGTTATCTTGGCATAACCTACGTCGCTTAACCTTCTTTTCATATCTGGACAACATTATCAATAGATGGGACTACACGTAGAGCTGATCTCTGCCAGCACACAACATGTAGCCATAACATGGCTGTTCCCATCATCTTCAGCAGGGAGGGGGACAGTCAGAGGGAACATCACCTCACTGTGGAATGCTACAACGTGCAGGCATGGGACACACTCCTGGCTATCAAAAGGGATGAGTACAAGCATTGGACACCCTCCCTCTGTTACAAACTTACCTTGAGCTAATCTCTGCCAGCACACGACACGTGGCCATAGCCTGGCTGTTCCCATCGTCTTCAGCAGGGAGGGGTACAAGCATGGGGCACACCCCCTGCCCATCCTGGGGGAGGAGGAGGCTGTGTAAGGCCGTTACCAGCTTCTCGGTGATTGACAGCTGCTGCAGGGGAAGTACCTAGAGAAGAAAAAAAACATGACTGTAATTTCAACCGCTTGGATTTTTCATAGCTTACTGTCTGGCTTGGATTGTTAAAGAGAAGGTTGAGTTCTGGGAAGAGGTGAACAAACAATTTGTGAGCGTTATCATTGTATTATTTAAGTGTGGAAGAGCATCAGAGAAAAGCATGGCTCTTCAAATGTCTTAACATTCTTAATATGGCATGTAACATCATACAAATCGGGGCAGATTTTTATGCCACATGTTTGTGTAGTCCCTTATACATCTTTCTGTGTACAGTGCTTGTATCATTACCAAGACTGGGGCAAATTTCTTAACATTTTGATGATTCCAGAATCTTGCAGTACTTACCAATACGGGTGCTTATATGCTAGATGATTGTTTGTTTGTTTTACCTGACTTCTATTAAAAACAGCATGTATATGCTTGTTAGTAAGCAACCAGGGGATTGACAGCTTTAAGTCCTCTCCAAGGGACTTGGTAATGAGGATCAATGCCTTACCTTAGGGCACCAGCGTATCGACTCGATGTTGGACACGGGACCTCCCGGTTACGAGACCACTGCTCTACCACTAAGCCAAACCCGTCTCCTTTGGGGGGTCACAGGTAAAATTTTAGTCCTCTTTGATATCAAGACTGTACTAAGCCCCCTCAAAAATATCAATATTAAAGCCTATCTGCACTAGTTTGGCCAGGAGTGATTAGACCTCCCTGATTGGTCACTGGCAGGTGTTTATCTCATTAAATCAGCTCTCAATTGACATAAGAAAAAAAGGACCATGAGGAATCAATGGGTACCGCTTAGACATTAATGGCTGTATAGAGGGCGCAAGTAGCTACGAGTGGTGCAGCCCAGCTTTAATAAAAATGAATTTACTTACAATGTTCTTAGGTGGTTGAAGCCTGCTGACCGATACATCCATGGGGTTGCTTATCTTGGGGATGTCGTCAGCCTCGACAGAAACAGAAGCGATGCCCTGATGTTCAGCTATACTCAAAACATGAGCCTCTAACGGTACACAGCCATCTCCAACGATCTAGACAAGTGAAACAGAAACAACTGTCGTTAATTACAAATTAGAAACTTTCCATGAGCCTTAGAGCTGCGCAGAAGGACTATGTGCGCATGCGCAAAGAGCATGATCTCATGTAGTCTCTTCAACAAGTAAAATTCTATTTTACTCAATTCCATTGATGAAAAGGAGGATGCAAGAAACTTAAATATGACTAAATATGAACAGTTTATCACTAACATAATCAAAATAAATAAATCCATGAATTGAGGTTATTCATTGGGAATGTTCATCAAAAAAAATCAATTTGATTTCTTCTTCCTTCTTCACTCTTTTCTATTTTCCTTATCTATTTTTCTTCTCCTTGTTAGTTTCGTTGTTGTGCATTGTATTTTGTTTTGTAATATTGTCTTGTGTTTTCTAAGTCTTCGTAGGCAAAATTTGAAACATTTATATTTCTATTTTTTTCTGGGGGATCCACAAACTACAAGCACTGCTTTTTAGTGGATCCCCCCCCCCCCCCCCCCATTTCCTCAGAATTTCTTGTAATAATTTTATTATGTGCAAAGTTTATTTGTATAGTTTCCTGAAAAAATGAATTATGTATGAAAAAAATGTAATAAATTTGTTTACCTTTCTGTTGGAAATGAAATAAATATGAATATGAATTTGTATACAAATTCCCAAAACCATACTAAATCATGAGATAAATTGTTGCAGCAAAAAAATACAGAAGGTTAAAAATAAGCCTTCATCCAAACCAATCTGCCTGTTACACCAGGGAAATTACCCCAAGTTGCAATTTGTCAAAGATATAGAGTAAGGCTTTGTTTCCCCTTTTCAAAGAATACTTCCACCTGTGTATCATGTGCACTGCCTGTGCATAAATGAATAATGATTACATAACTTTCATGACCACGTATCCAGTATTTTGTCTCTGTGTATTTCACGTTTTATTTCACAATTTGTTCTGCAATGACCTTTATCTGCTCATGTTCAGACTAGGCGTTGTGGTGTGCGCCTGTAATCCAGCTAACAGTGGAAGTTACATGTACAAACTGATTCAGCCAAGGACGCAGGTTCGAAACCGAGTCACACTTTCGGATGGTGACGTTTAAAGGTCGGTCCCCAGACGTAAATAATCATATCTGATTGATACACGTCAGTAAAAACCCAATACAAACACACACACACACTCAGACTGCAACCAAAAACTGGCTTATTGTCACTAAGCATACATGTACATGTACATTGCACAGTCCCTTCCAGGACACCCCACCCCAATTATTCCACGTGACTTACCTGAGCTGTCGATCCCATCTTGACACAGTCTTGGAATCCACCCAGCGCGCAGAATGCTGCCACCATTTGACGGCAGGTGGAGAGGAGCTGATCGATGCCTGGACCTTGCGGCTGAGAGGCTAGGAGGGCCATGTGGCTTGCTTGCTGTGATACAAGCACAGGCACTTGACTCAAGGCATGTGATAACACCTGGGTGAAGAGAATGAAAATGGTTATTCTTTTAGATATGTAATATTAAGACACATACTTATATTTTACGCTGAAAATGCCATTTTTTTCTTGAAAACCATCTTCATAATAATAATAATATTCCATGTTTATATAGCGCTCAATACATCGATCCAACGATGTGCCTAGGCGCTTTACAGATATATTATTACCCCGGTCATCGGATTCAGGCTTACCCGCACACAATGTATGCACATTTTCCACTCCCTGGGGAGCATTCTTCACATCTCTTTTGAATACTTTATATAAGGGGGACGGATTCCAAGGACTTCCGTATCCCCCTGATGAAAAATATTAATAATAATAATATCTGTACATATTGTAGTACCAAAATTACAAAAGCAGATGAGGATGCAGGTGAAACTAATCAAATTTAAATAGGGGGAAAAAGATACAGAGATTCAATGCGTGTGTGTCTATTTTTTATAAAGACTCAAATTGTTATTCAAACTTATTGAAATAGATGTGCACTAAACATATTGCAGAGGCATTAAAATTGCATTATTGTAGATCATTAGGTAGATGGTAGATTATTGGAAACATTTACATATGTGCATGTTCATGTACATCAAGTACTTCCAACAACTACACATGTATTCTACAGACAAAATTCAATTCCATTCCATTCAATGTCCAATGTACATGTACTTTCAACATGGACATTTGTTTCCCTCAAATGTAAAATAAAAGAATACTAGTTTTATTAGAACAGAAATAAGAACAAAACATGGATACATTTTGGTAATGACAAAAAAATACTTATACATAATATTGATTTTTGTTTCCTTAAATTACATCCTTTAACTGGCTTCATGCATATTTATAAATTTTTTTGTTTTCTTAAATGACAATATGAACATTTTTATGAGTTCATACCAAAAAAAATTGTGAAATAAAAGGTGTAGAGTATAGAAGTGTCGTGGTCGAGTGGTTTAAGGCGCTTGACTGGAGATTCGAAGACCAAGGGTTCCAATCCAGATACAGCACCAATATCCCTTGGCAAGATACAGTGTATTAACCTGCACTTGCTACTCTTCATCCAGGTGTTAAATGGGTACCAGGTAGGATGTGACCGTCATTGTTGGTCAAACAGTTTTTGAGCGTCGAGTAACGCCTGGCTTGGATGCTGCCCAGGGAGTGGAGATTGTGCACACAGTGTGTGCGGGTGAGTATTGAATCCAATGACCGGGGTAATAGTATATCTGTAAAGCCCTTAGAGATATTTGTGTTAAGCGCTATATAAAAGCGGAATATTATTATTATAATACTGACCCTCTCCACAGCAGAGGCCCAGATTTGAGCTGTGTTACATTCTGGTGCAGTGAGCAGGCTGTGCATGAGAGCTATGACCTCGGACGCCATACTGTGGGCAACATGGCCGCTGATGAAAGGTCGCACAGGGTCAGTTCTACAAAGAAAACAGAAGAATGAGTTGATACAGTATATCAATATATGAAGAGTTTAATTCCAAGAGGAGCTAGATCCATTTGTGTAACTTGAGAGAAAAAAAAATTTGTTTACCAGATTTTGTACAGGTGCTATAGAAAAGTGACATTAGAAAGTGCATATTTTCATAATTATTCCCAAAATGTAGGTAAACACTTTTGTTGAAAGACGGGTACTGAAGTAAACAATGTTCTGATATCAATAACTCAATTTTTATCAAAAGTGGATTTAGCTCGTTTTGGAATTAGACTCTTCATAAAGTCTGAACACAAAAATGACTACTTACATGAAGCATACGAATTACCAGTAGGCATTTTCTATAACTTATAAAACTGGATTCAAAGCTGTGTTTTTAAAATGAATTTGAATAATGAAGGCAACAAAGCTCGTCACTACTACAGTATTGCATAAATAGTTCAGTTTTTATGACACGTTGGGCATACCCAAGCTTTGAAGGTAATCTGAAGAAAGGATGATAAATATGATTTGATATATCAAATATCAAATATATGTTGTACTGTGCAAGACGGGAAGCTTTGCCGGCAATTTGCTCAAAGATGTCATTGACAAAGTTGTTCATGGTCCGACTGGGTTAGGGTTAGGGTTAGGGTTGAAATGCTCCCCAGGGAGTGGAGAAAGTGCATACGTTGTGTGCGGGCAAGCCAGAATCCAATGACAGGGGTAATAATGTAAAGCGCTTAGAAACTTGGACATTGCCAATGTATTCAGTGCTATATAACCAAAATATTATTATTATAATGCTGCTGAGAGCGAGTAGTTTTGTTAAACCTCCTATTCAAATCTTTACATTTTGGCAGACCACCTTTTCTTATTAACATAAAAACAACAATATATATATCTATTGCTGTAAATAATGTGGGAGGGGTAAAAAGTTTAGGTCAATTCTACCTTGCAAGTTCAGCATTCTTTTCCCTGCAGACAGCTTCAGCAGTGACCTTCAGCTTCTCCTTGTTATTATTCTCATTATCGGTGGTCTCTGTCGGAGCTCCTACGCTCACCAAGAAGCCAGCTTGAGCCAGCTTGCCTGCTTTCTGGATAGCGGTAGCCGCGTCCTCGGTAAACAGCTCAGCCTTGCCATTCTAAATAAACAAAAACAATGACAAGATTCTTATTATCAGTGGTTTATGTTGGAACTCCTACGCCGATTAAGAAACCAGCTTGAGCCAGCTTGCTTGCTTTTTGTATAGCCATAGCCGCATTCTCGGTAAACAGCTCAGCCTCGCCAGTCGCAACGAAATTGAGGGGGAATCAAATTGGTTCTAGGGTTAAAAGCTCAAACCATGTTATTACACTGCATCTCCTGACAGCCAATTGATTTTTAATTTTCTTGCAAAAAGACAAAAATGCATTTCTTGACAGGCGCATGCAGGAGTATAACCTATGTGCATGACTATGACAAAGAAGATTTGTTCCGAGAGGAAATTAAGATGGTGACCAGGTACTTATAATCTTAATCATTTTCACCACTTACACAACTGTACCTGTGGCTGGTAATAACTTCAAATAATTGAAACAAAATTTATAAACTGTTTGGAAAAGAGGTGAAAATATGAAGATTGTATTATAAACTAAATGCGAGTGGGAATTCTACTTACCGTATGCATGTTACGATCCATGCGCAGAACTTTTTCCATGTTCGCTCCACTCCCTAGCCTGAATGGACGACCCTCAGAACTGTAAAAATATGATCATGATAATACCTAAGTAACCTTTCTAAATGTATGACCATTTGCTCGTTTTACAGTAACAAGGAAATAAACCTAATCATTATCATCATTTTTAAACCCTAATACAAAATAACTCACCTACAATTTTTACATCTTTAAGTCTAACTTAAAGATAAAGGTGAGTTCTGGTAATGCGATTGCATTGTAAAAGAAAAGGTGTGGAATGGATCAGAAACAGTTTATCATGTAGCATGTAAGTATTGGTGTGCACTGCAAGGTTCTGGAGTCATCAAAATCATAATAAATTTGGCCGAGTCTTCTGTACACATAAAGCTATATATGGGACAACACACATGGTGTCGGGGCTAGTACTACCTTGATTTCCTTGTCTTTCTATGCTCATTACTCAGCCAGTATACATTTTCTTCCAAAATTGTTTGGCACACGTCATTTATTTGTAATCTTGAACATTCAGTGTAAGTTTTGTTAGATTCTGTGAGAATTCATTTTTTTTTTTTTTTACCAGAACTCAAGTTTATCTTTAAGTCTAACTTAAATTGAATTTAACGTCATTCCACATCAATCATAATTGTTTTAAAATGAAATATGCATGCAATAAGGTAATACCATGGTACAAAAATAATTCTGATGAAAATGTAATAGGATCATTTAAGAGTTTTGTGGCATTCTTGAAAGGCAACCAAAGATGAAATAAGGTTTTAGGGATTAATCACTTTAACAGTGACATTTTGCATATAATTTCATATGTTAAATAATTCATATTTCATGCCCCTTGTGCGAAGGTGAAAACAAACCAAAAACAAAATTCATCACGTACCTCAGAAGAGCCTGGATGACTTCCCTAGATGACTGGTCTTCCCTCTTGTGAAGGAAGACAGATAGGCGGCCATCTTGGTCCTCCAGATCGTCCTCTCTATCAGGTATATAGCTCACTGATGACAGGTGGCCAAGCTGCTCTGGGGCTAGGATGGTCTGACATCCTGAGGGACAATTCAAAACAAATTAAATCTGAATGAAATCTTTTTAATATTTCATTTATTTATTTTACTCTCTTTTAAAAACCATCAAAAGTATATACATGTTCGTTCATTATCAACATAAGATAAAAGGAAGTGGGGAATCATGAAAGCCAAAATTGGCTTGATGAGAATGATCCCCAAAAAAATACTAAGCATAAACAAGATACAAACTTATTTTATATAAAAAACATAGTACATACATGTACATTCACAACAACAGAGGACAGAGGAAAGATAAAGATAACAAGGTAAAGATAGTTACAGGAAGACAAAAAGAGAGAGAGGATAACAAGAAAGATGAGGGTTCAGTGACAAAAAGACGTAACTGCATATTTTGCCTAAATGAGTATTTGATATCAAAATGTTCAGAAAAATGTGAGCTTTCCAGGAAACACAAAGACTTAACTCCACCCAACACCCCATTAAAGTCAATGACTAGTGTAACATAGACATACATGTAGACTTAACTCCTTAAGGCTCAAGTGCTCAGTGACACATAAACCACTTTTTCTCAAAATGGCAAAAATGGAGTTACGTCTTTGTGTCACCGTGAAATCATTCCTGGGATTTCTTTTTTCCATCCAATCTAACTTTTCATCATTTACAATGCGTATTTATTTCTACAGATGGAGATGGATGGATTGTCAATTCAAGACGAGCTGATTTTTCAAAAAGATAAACAGTGTTCATCAGGTTTATATGTTGCTTTAATATCACAGACCAATTACCAATTGTGAAAATACTCTTCATGTGACTATTAATTGGGAGATTACAAATAGCTTAAACAAGAATACAGGTTCTTTTTACATACAAAAACTAACTTAGAAACACAAGAAGGAAACAAAGTATCATAAAGCAAGTTAACCTATCCTACCAAATACTAGCAAATAATTTTCAATGATGCAATGATTGGCCGAGTACCCCATACTCTTGACATACCTGGGACTACACAGTCCCCGAGCTTGGCTAGTAGTAGACTGGCGATACGAGCAGGTGGGTCGCTGGTAATGACGCCCCCTTCGCCACCGGTAGCCGAGGCCAGCTCCGCCCCCCACGCCGGGAGCTGGACATGGGCGCAGTCCTGGGCACTCATCAGGGGGAGGGCTACACGACACAGCTGGAGGATGATGAGGACCAGTTTGGGGGAGGGGCGCTGATCAAGGAGGAGGGAGAGGAGCTTCGAGACGCAAGCTGGCTGGCTCAAGATGGCACGACCCATGCGACTCCTAAATGTTGAAATACAAAAAGAGGGTTGAATGTTCACTTTAAGCAAATGTACATCTGCACAGCTAATCGTTATGCCCAGGATAGAATTGGTTGAAACGTCAATAACAATAAGGACGCAAAGGGTCCGTCATGACTCATAGGACGACAACGACAGTCAAGAGAAGCACAGTCATCACCTCTGCATGTCTTTGCATTATTTTGCTCAATTTTCGTACCAAACCATATTATACGTTGCTAACACATGACAATGAAGCCATATTGAACACCAGCTGTCTTTGATAAAAAAAGATCTTGCCAAAAGGACATGAGCATAACACAACGATGGTTAAAAAAGCACATTTCAAAGTTCGTCAGAACAGTAACTAATTTGATTTTGAAAGCAAAACTTAACTTTCACTTTATGAATAACTATCTTTTAGAAATGGTTACAATTAGAATATGAGTGTCATACATGTACATGTACACTGTAGTTGTCAACTTTACAAAGCAAACATAAGGAACCTCTCAAGGCAAAAGTTGGGATGCCATGTTTTCAGATAAAAAAAAGATAAATTGAGGGTTCATAACATGACTTTAAGGGCCAACAAAAAATAAGAATGGTAGGGAGATCATATTATCCAGCTCACCTTGATAGATTATTGAGCAGACTAAGAACCTCCTGCAGAGCCTCGCTCCCTGCAGCCTCGTTGCCGCAGCTCTCCGTCGCTCGAGCGAGGTGATTGGTCAAGAGCAACGAGACCTGACGAGCGAGACCAGCGTACCCTAAAGCATCCTGGGATACCTCGTCAGTTTCCCATGATACACAGCGATTGGCAAGCACCTTCAATGAAATACAACATTAATTGTTTTACAAAAAAGCTCCTGACATGGAAAGATGCAAACAGATTACCTACAAGATCTAATTATACCCTATACACCATCTCGTAGTCTAAGACCATCACATCAACATCTTCTTCAGATTCTAAGAACAGGGGAGTGTTTCACAAAGCGTTTTTTCAATGACAAATCTGCTGATGACCAATCAGAAGCAAGGATTTCACTAGCTTATAACAAAAACTGTCATTTGTCACTGATGACAAGTTTTGTGAAAGACCCCCCAAGAGTCTCTTGCGACGAAAGGGCTTTCTCGGACACAGCAACTTTTCTGTGGAACAAATTTCCTTTGGAGTTGAGAACTTAAACAATGAGAGAGTTTCAAATCGCAGTTGAAATCCTATCAAGCGATGCTTGACACAGGAATACGAGGCTCATCCAGACTCTTCTCGTGCACCTTTAAATAGAAGTTATAGATAGGACTCTGTGTAAAAATGTCAGAGGTAAAATTTGAAATTTTTACCTCTGACATTATATACCTCTGACATTTTTACCTCTGACACATTTACCTGGCACTCTAGATAGATGGTGCAATACAAATGCCTATTATTATTATTAGTGCTTTTGGCAAATGGCCTTACCTGAAAGCCTGCCCAAGCAAGAGCGGAGACCCTCTGACCGCTGGACTGAGACTCTGGCCTTGATGGCTGACCAGATGAATGACCAAGACTACATAGTCTGTCCAGTAAGCTGACCAACTGACTGTCCACAAGGCATTTCTCTTCACTCCTGTTATAGCATACAAAAGAAACAATGAGCACATAAATTTTATAGATGTTCTTGCAACAGGAATCGCAGTTACATGTACTTCTAAAGAGGAAATATAGTCTCTCTGAATTCATGCTTCAAGATGATTGACTTCTCTCATTCCCATACTATTAGGCTTAACACAAGGAACATCCAGTAGAGGAGCCGTTGTCTAGTGGATAACGTCATCCAACTGTGAATCACATGGTTCACGATTCAAGTCCCTCTGCCGCATTATTGTCCTTTGGCAAGAAATCAATCTCCATTTTCCACTCTCCAACCAGTAGTAGTAAATTGGTACTTGGTAGGGATTTATTCCTTGAATGCTTTAGCGCTTTAGGGCAGGTTGGCTAAAGCCATGGTAATAATATTTGTTATTGTAGGCATGTCTCTAGTAGCTTTTTAACAGATATTTTATCACAACAGCTCATTTTTAAAACTTTTAATTCAATCTTTTCTCATACCTTGTGTATGGGATGGTACAGAGCAGCCCTATACTGTAAGCACAGTCTGTGAGGTAAGTTTTGCTAGTTGAACAGAGGTAGTCTTTGCAAACATCTGCAAAGGCATGTCTCTCATCGCTTTTACAGATATTTTATCACAACAACACATTTTTAAACTTTTACATCAATCTTTTCTCATACCTAGTATACGGGATGGTACAGAGCAGCCCTATACTGTAAGCACAGTCTGTAGGATGATGTGTTGCTTGCTGGACGATGGCTGTCATCGCATCCGCAAAGGCTTGTCTGACGGTCTCAACGAAACCTCCACACTTCAAGTCCTCTATCCTGTGGTGATTAAGAGCAGATTAAGATTTTGAGTTGAAGAGAATAATAACACAACAAGAAAAATCTTGTATCTAGCAGCTTAAACTATCATCAATGGGGGTACACTGTGGAACATGTGGGTTAAAAAGCTGATTACCTACAGTACATGTATTGGACAAGGCAAACGCCAAGCGTTGTCTCACCAGCATCTCTAGGCTACGCAGGCAAGGCGAAAAAGTGATATTTCTATTTTATTTGAATCATCATGTATCAAATGATATTTTAGCCCATACTCAGAGCACACATGTACATGTATATACCTGTACATGTATGCCTCTGTTTCTTTCTTATTCTTATCTTGTTTGGTGCTTGTGTGGTGTGTTGATATTGTATTTAGAATGGTTTTGTTTTGTTTTGATTTGTTCTTTTGTTTGTTTTGTGTTTTGTTTAGTTTGCTTATGTTTTTTTTTATTTTGTTTTTTTTTATTTTTGTTGTTTGTTTTGTATTTGTTTAGTTTGATTATGTTTGTTTGTTTTATTTTGTTTTGTTTGTTTTTGTTTTGTGTTACAGGAATGTCAGACAGCATTAGAGGGAAGTTCAAAATACTCAAAATCACTATAAATATGTTTGGTCAAATCTAACAAATAATTAATCATCTTGACAAATCACTCATGGTCTTAGTTACTGTACCTTGGCCCTTGTTGCAGGACAGACGTTATAGCGGTCACTAGATGAGCATAGCCCTCCGAGTGACCAGCAGTGGTCATCAGCTGATGGGCATGGACCAAGGCTTGCTGTCTTGACCATCCGCGCTGACGTCTTGCCTTGACCGCTGACAGAAACTCGTCCTTAGATACCTAGAAATAAGAAACCATATACATGTACAGAGTTGATGTAATATACAGTAGATAAATACATGTTTAATTCCTACAACTAAGTAACTACTAGTGATACATCAATATTGCCGTAAAGCCTTAACAAGCATATTCCCCATACATGTACATGTATGTACAGTACTTCATGTAGAGTTATAAAGAGTTCACAGTTTGACAGAGTACATGATGAAATGATCTACCTACACTGTATATTCCTGTAGGCTACTGTGTTATATGTTGTAAATGATTCATATTTTTTGTTTTGTCAAAACTTCCAAGTACATTCCAAGATTTTGATAATTTTTAAGAGAAACATGTAATGTGCATGAGTAGTAGAAGTAAAGTATGAAATCCATAATTTTCCATCAAGTTTGGTAAAGTTGGGACAAGGAGGTCTGAATAATGCTCATTATCATAAATAACCATCCCAAAGGGGAATTGGAGGGACTCTGTGGCAGAAGACCACCAACAACATTTTGGAAAATTTACGATAAGGCATGGACTAGAGGCAGCGTGGAGTATCAGAAAACAGCATGGCCTCAGAAGAAGAATACCAACAGAGTATTAATCATTATTATCTATATAAGGCTCCCAAGTGGTACAATAAATCAGTGTATTTAATATCTTTAGCGCAGTACCTGGATGACTGATCCATCCCGATTGTACTTTTTATCAATGAATGATAGTTTGATTGTAATGTTACCATGTTTTACATTATGCATTTTATCAATTGTCACTGTGTTATTGTAAATTTTCGCAATTTGGCATTGCCGCAATGAAAGTAGTTCAATAAACCATTTTGAATTGAATTGAATTGAATTTTGTTTTCGTATTGCTCAGTCATCCTTGAACATCAACTATTGATATTGATGTCACACGAACACAAAGTCATATTGACCAAGGTAAGTCAAATTTTGTTATTTCACTAGCCAGCCTTCTATAGATAATAATAATAATATTGTATGGCTTTGTTTTTGTGTGATACAAGAATATATTGCTCTTGCTATGACAATATTGGACTCGTCTTCAGCTCATCCAATGTTGTCATAGCGAGAATTAAACTCGTCCAATATTGTCATAGAGAGAGCGATATATGCTTGTATCACACCCAAAGCCATCCAATATTATATAATTATCACTGTCACTGTTACTAGTTGTGTCATTTTATTTTTCACTATGAGATTTTTTAATAAAATTGCTTACAGCTTGAGTAAGTTTGGTTCCTATGAAGGCAAAAATTTCATCTAGTAAGTTGGTAAGGTTCTGGTTGCGTTCTGGAGCGCCGCTGTATGCGCTGCTCCTGGAGCGCCGCATCTGGTAAGGTCTGAAAAGACATTCAGGGTGAGGAAGAAAATAAAAGAAGAATTATTACAATTTTGAAATGCTTAACATATTGAAAAAAATGTTCAGAGAAAATGAAATGAATAAAATAATTAAACAAAGAAGAAACAAATAAATGATAGGTAGAATATGAAGGATACAGTAATAAACACTTTAAAGGTTAAGCAATAACTGTATAAACAATTAAATTACTCATGATACCCCTTGTAAATTTGATGTTTTTGTGCTTTTTGTAACTCAAGAATAACAGGCTTAAAGGGGAAGTCCACCCTGAAATTAAGTTAGTTTTAATAGGAGTAGAAAAATGAGAGAAACAAGTCAGTGAAAGTTTGAGCAAATTCCGATTAAAAATAAGGAAGTTAGGATTTTTGAAGTTGTGATCAATCAAACACAAATTGGCAACTCTATGACATATCATGCGAGCTCAACTTCCATTTGCTCAGTACTAAAAAAATCTAAAATTTTCATTTTCCCTCAAGAAAAATTTCAACCACACATGCACCCTAAATATAATAATTGCAAATATGTTTCTATACTCCCCCTGCAAGGAACAAATATATATTCCGTCATCAATAACGAAGAAAACATGATTTTATGGAATATTATGCACAAAGCAAATGAAGGAGAGCTCGTATAATAAGTCACAGAGTTGCCAATTTGTATTTGATTGATCACAACTTCAATAATTCATAACTTTCTTATTTTCATTCAGAATTTGCTCAAACTTTCACTCACCTGATTTTCTTATTATTCTGCCTCTATCGAAACAAACTTATTTTGGGGGTGGACTTTCCCTTTAAAAAAAATTAATTTAATGGTAAGAATTTGTATTATGTCACATTCTAAAGAAACGTAAATCGAGACAAATCCATTTTTCACATACTTCAAAGCTTGGTAAGGGTACAAATAATTTAGTTGTTAACTGTACACATACATATATGTAGCTACATGATGAGTAAATGTTATGTACATGTACCCTTATACCTTACATAATGATAAAATAAAACACTGTATCTGATGAATGTACATGTCAAATATGTAAAGTTTACCATATTGCTACACTTCATGTAACAAGAGATACTTGTAATTGGAGAAATGCCGACAGGAAGAAAAAGACTGAGACAGAGAGAGAGAGAGGGAGAGGGGGAGATATAGAGTGGGGAAGAGAAAGAGGAGGAAAGAGAAAAAGGGGAAAAGGGGAGGAGGAAGAAAGAGGAGGAGAAAGAGGAGAGAGAGAGAGAGAGAGAGAGAGAGAGAGAGAGAGGGGAGAGATATACAGTGGGGGAAAGAGAGATAGAGAGAGAGAAAGAGGAGAAGAATGTAGAAAGAGAAAGAAGGGGGAGATGGGGGGAGAGAGAGAGAGAGAGAGAGAAGAAGGGGAGGTGGGTAGAAGGTAGAGAGAGAGAGAGAGAGAGAGAGAAAGAGACAGGTAAACAAATGTATGAAGAGAAAAGCAAAAAAGGAAAGGAAAAAGCAGACAAAAGCAAAAACAATGCAGAGACATACATTTAAAAGGGTCATACATAATGCATTTCATTTTGAATAAAACTTTACCTGGTGGTCGATTTATCAGAAGCCGTTGGTCTAGCTTTTGTGAGATCGGCTGGCATAGACAGACTTCTGGAGAATTGACTAGTACTGGTAGAAGTTTGACCTCCATTGCCTCCATTCCCTGCATCGGCCACAAGAAGAATAATTGAACATTCATGCGTTACACGTACATGAGCATGAACTACAAAATTCCTAAATATTAAAGTACACAGTTGAACTAAACTAATTGGGCGCTGCAAGAAAGTTGCGATTGATTGCAAGTTGAACTGATATTTGCAATTAATTGCAACTCAACTTTCTTGCAACGCCCCACTAGTCTTCTAAATTTACTAGGATTTTGTTAAGATTAAAGTTTTAACAGTGTAATTAAGTTAACTAGATCTATATCTACATGTATATACCCTGAAATTGGAAGCCTCAAATGAAGGTTACCCAGATTACACTTCAGTTTATGAATAAATTGTGCACATTTTCTATAAATTCCACAGTGGACACATTCTACATTCCATAATCATTATTCAAATGATAGATTTCAGTTGCATTTTGTAATGCACTGTAATTACTACTAATGTACATGTACATGTATGCTCATTCCCACAAGCAATTAATGACATTGCCTGATTTATCTCAGGCTGAGGTCTGCGGTAACTTTGTGTTATATATGTACCAATATAAAGCTTGATGCCCTTAGTAAAAAATCAGTCAAGCAACCTAGATTTGAATCACGCAGAGGACATGGTGAATACTTTTAGAATCCTTACAATTGTTAGATTATTTCCGTTATCATTAACTCAAATATGTTCATATCATATTTGTTCTTGGGAACCTACAAACTCAAGCTATGCTTTCCAGTAGGTTCCTGTTTCATTTGATAATTTTGAACTTACAAACAATTGCTATATGCAGGGGTGATAGTGAGCACTAAAAATAAAACAGGTTTTTTGTTTTCCCCTCAACCACGCCCCCCTTGAGTAAAAAAAAAGAAGAGGATTTGCGGGAAAAAATTGCATCTAACAACATTCCCCCCTTTCGAGTAAGAAAATTGGGTAAAAATAGGGCAAAATAGGGAAGAATAGAGAAAATAAGGGGTAAAACAGGAAAATCAGGATAAAATTGGGAAGAAAAAAAAATCTTGTAAATAAAAAAAATAAAAATTTTAAAAAATCTGGATTTTTTTTTTTTTTTTTTTTTTTTTAAATCGGGAAGAAAAAAAATTGGGGAAAAATCGGGAAAAAATAAAAAAATTGGGAAAGTGATTTAAATCAGGTTTTTATCAGGCCTGTATATGAAATGGAATAAATTAGAATCAATCAATCAATCTACATGACTCACAAGGTAAGGTACCCAGCTCATCACCGCCTTGGGATACGCTCCGACCGATGCCGGATGACCCATTTTCCGCTGCTATGGCAACCTCCAAGAGTGCGTTGGCTCTATCCAAGATGGCCGCCACTAGTGCCTTTGTCTTGATCATCTTCAGCGATGCATCCTGCTCCGACTTGCTCTCCTCTTTCATTTTGTTCCTGCAGAGGGCAATTTAAATTTTGACCGTGATGCGTACCTGGGACATACATTGCAGATGTAGCTTTAGTAGGCTTAGTAGGCCCTAGGTTCGACTAGCACTTTTGCTAACTTCTAGTTCACATTAACAATTTCACCTCAATATTAGCAACACACATGAATATGTGCATATCTTGTACATTCAATGGTATGTAGATCTATCTCCAAATATATGTTTTAAGCCATAATTACTGTCCAATCAACATTATTTTTTCCTTGTTGTATACACGCATCACTATTATTCTTTACATTGTATGATTGTTCACATACTGTTATCATTGTGAAATGATGTTCTGGGTAAATTTAATTCGAGTACGTGACAGAAGTTAGAGCTATAAAGAAACGGAACACACATATAATAAGTTATAAAACCCTTCTTGCAGTTGGTTTGTCTGAAAATCAAGGATCAATATGAAGATGATGCAGCCATTGCTGTTGATATATTTCACAGTACAATGTATTTCCATTGTCATCAAATAGGAATGGGAAAAATAGACATTGCATCTTCCACTAACATGCATGCTATATCTGATTGTTTCATCACATCAAACTTGAAAACTTTGAAACATTTTCAGCTCAAAATGATTTTACCGAAGAAGAAAATTAATACACCTACATGTATATGTCATATATGTAATACATTAGTTTGTTTTGTTCAAAACAATGATGTCAATGTAAATAACCTATACGAATTCTGAAATTAATTGATTGAGTATGAAACATTACCTTAGTAATTTGACAGCCTCTTCTCCACTGGTAGTTTCACAGTCAATACCCTTGATGAAGCAAAGGGTCTCAATATCCTTCTTTTTATCCTGCAGAAAAGACAAAATAACAAACAGAAAATATAATTTGCTACTAAAAAAATAAAGGCAAGTTCTTTCAATCTCAACTTATCCACAAATACACACACTTCTCACTGTCGACATACATGTACATGTCTATAGAATCCAGCATATTTTGAAAATATGAGATAAAGTTTTGCATGCATTGTTTTCTTCATTTTGTTTAGCAGGGGAGAATGAGCAGAGGGAAAAAAAAATATTCCAACTATCACTTGCAAAACCATGCCCACCATAGACATTTTCTAACTGCAAAAGAAAATCCATGTTTATGGTAAAAAATATAGTATAATATTTTTATACAGTAACAAACTGTTTAAATATTTAATTAAACAGGGAGATCCAAAGGATAACACACGTGATATCTCATTGCACACAATCTCACACTAAACACATACATGTACATGAATATGAATATTTGATCATATCTTCACAACTTTATTACTTTCTAAGATCCATTATCAACATGATCGCATCACAAACTTGAATAGCACATTTAAAGTGACTGGGTTACATTGTTGAAGGTTGATGAAAAAACTGCTTGTTTGTTTATGAAATGCTGCTATTTATGTTCCTTCTACTGTACTAACTCTATAAAAGGCAACTTTCAGATTATCTTTAATTGTACATCTAGCATTGAAGTCACTACATGTACCTTAGCACTATTTTCTCTCATCTGAACAATGTTACCAATAGTCCCTTTAATATTGTCTCACCTCTTGAAGATGGTAATCATTGAAGAATGGTAGAGAAGCTTCCGTTTCAGTCTTCAGGTCATCAAGTTCTCTCTCCCAACGTTGCTCTAGCTCACCAATGAACTAAAAAAAAACAGATCAGATACAAACTTATAGAACATTTTCAAGTATTGTATTATAATACAGAGAAACCTGTCTAGAAAGACCACCTAAGGGAGACAAGAAAAGTGGTCCTTATAGGCAGGTGTTCTTTATGTACAGGTGCCTATAGTTCATGTTTCTATGACAACCATTTTCAAGGGAAACACAAAATGTGGTCTTGTAGACAGGTGGTCACTAAAGCAGGTTTGACTGTATAATAATAATAATAATAATAATAATAAAAGGCAGGTACATGTGGCCTTTAAAGAGAGACATGGCCATTAACTATTACATAACTTTTGAAATATTTGATCCAAAGGTTTACAAGGACTCACTATTAGGGTTCTTTCCAGCTGCTCACTCAGTTGAACCCCTCTTCCACTGTCTTAACAGCACTACCTTGCCCACAACTGCTTAAAGGGATACGTTGAGTTCTCGTTTCAGACGATGAATGCCTTCAAAGTGCATGGTTTTTGCTCTTATTCTTATTTATGACATTTCTAGTGCTCTTTTAGGACCTAAAATTGCTATGAAGGTAAATTTAGACCCCAAAATGTGTGAAATTTGGCCAATATGATGATACCAATTCAACTCCACTTTCAACAAAAATATGGTGACCGTTAATTAATTAATAATAACAATACATAGGCCGGCTGATATTGAGTATTATATCAACACGAAACAGCCGACAAAAAGCCAATATCGGCATTGGCTGGAATAAAACGTATAAGGCACTATGTCGTTTTTTCAACGGCTGGTTCAAATTATTGAATATTTGTGTGGCACCACAAATATTAGAAATCGTTATATTTATGGATATTTCAGCTATCTCTGAACCGATTTTGATCAAACAAAGATGATTTTGTCATTTAAATTGTATGCTCTTTCAACTCAGTCACTCAGTTTTTCATTATCTCACCCAAAAAATAACTTTGTGTAGCGCCCTCTGCAACAAAACGCAACTATCCCTTTAAGGGATTACTATGGGCAATGGCTCTTTTAGTACCCTTACACAGCAGTTGCTTCAATATTTTAACCTGGGCATAACTTACCATAAGTTGTCTTTCCAGTGTATTCACTCTGTTGAAGACCTCTGCCACCATCTTAACAAAGCCACTCTGGCCGGGGCTGCTTGCGGTAAGACCTCCCTCGGTACCGCTCAACGAGTTCAGCATCGGTTCAAGGTCAAGTAGTCTGATGGCTGCAGACACCAGCGCCTCTTCAAGGACAACAGGGTTGAGAGCATCTCTGTGCACACACACAAGTGGGAAAAGAAATAAGAAGCACAAGTTTTAAAGCCCCACTGCATACTTATAGCTACTTGCGCCCTCTACATGTATATAGCTAACAATTCCTAATCAGTGACCATTGGTCCCCCCATGGTCACCTTTTTCTTATGTTAATTGAGAGCTGTTTTGATAAAAAAAAACACCTATCAGTGACCATGCAGGGAGGTCTAATCCCTCAGAGTCCTGGTCAAACTAGTGCAGAGGGGCTTTAAATGAACTGTTGACAATCTTTGGATTTTTTCCAATTTTTTTGAATTTCCTCAGTGATTCACGAACGAATAGCTTTGTTCCATACAGGGTTTGTGTCCAAAAAATGTTTGCAATGATTACACCTAGGCTGTATATATCAATATGATTGAGATTGATAGACTTCTTTTTGTACATAGCGAATGAGAGAGGACCTCGAAGATAGATCACAGAGTCAGCAATGTAATCGATTGCAACTCCACGAGTTTTTAACTTTCTTATTCTCTATCATAATTTGCTCAAACTTCCACTGATCTGTTTCTATTAAATCATTTTCCTCTTCTATAGTAGCCAACTTAATTTCATGGAAAACTTCTCCTTAAAGGGATTGTGTATCTTTGTCTCAGATTCTGAACCAAAATCCTGGATTAATAGCTCATGCTGCAATGATAATTATAAACCTTTAGGTCAGTCAGGAACCCCATGACTTTTACAAGCCAATCGTCTGTCTGATTATCAAGATATTTATGATTGGAAATCGAAATGTCAAAAACCGTTTTCTTAAAGGTTTATATAACAATACAGTCTATTAATATATAAATAAATATGGCATAACTGGTCACTCAAAGATTTTTTACTTTTTTGAGGCACTTCATGATCATTTTGAAGCGTAGTTTTTTTAGGGCTTCAATTTTACACCATATCACAGACACTAATAATACATACATGTAGGGCCATGCATCTCATATTTAACATTGTTAAACAATGTCTTTAGGACTTCATAACCACTGAAAACCATTGGGGAAATCAATGTACTGTAGCAGGGTCTTACTTGATACTAGGCCTGAGGAAGGGAGCAGCCCTGCCAGACATTGCCCTCAGTCTCTGTAGCTTGTCCTTAGAAAGCTTGAGCCTGGGTAGACTGGTGTCCGATACCTTCTCTTTACTTCCAGAGGATGGACCTCCTGTACATGTAGGTTGCTGTACCATCTCATGCCAAGCACACCTGCAAGATGTAACAACAGTCTCCTTTATTGTAAGAGTTTACAATGTATAATGTTCACAAGTTTTGTGCCAGTGGAGTAAGTGAAAACTGCATGTATGGTCCCAAGACCAAGAACAGCGGACAACATTGTAATACCAATCATTTAGCAATATGATTTAGGGTCAAGACCAAGACCAAGACCAAAATGTCATTGAAAATCCTAGACAGAGACACTGTTTTTTGCTTCACCATCTAAAAAATCAAATGGGCCAATATATGTTCTAATATTTCCTTTGGCATTTATTTTTCAAGAAGACACTGCTGTTAACTCTAAAATATCAGTGCGCTAAAAGTCAGATGGCATTATCCAAACATACTGACGAGACTGACACCTGACCAATAATTGACCCCCCCCCCCAAACAAACAAAAATGGAAAATGAAAACCTCCCCAAGTGTCTAAGATTTTGCCTATTGTCTTGGGAGTCAGTTTCTTGGTGTGATTGGGATTTTCAGTTATTAAAATAAACATTCTATCTCTTTGCAGATGAGGTAAATGCTGTAGAATGAAACGACCCTTCATCATTTCTACCCATTTCAACATGCGAAATGCAACGAATCTTGTGATATTCATGTATTCTAATTCTTAGCTGGCTGTTTATGTTTTCTTTCGATAATCCTGAGACAAACTAGAGCTAAAGAAACTCACGAAAAATACTTTTCAAATTACCTCTGGATCAGCTTGGAAGACAGAAGGGCGTGACAGCGCTCCTCCGAACCTGTGACCTCGGGTCCTTCGTAGAGAACCTTGAGGAGGCTTGAACCTAGAACTGTCAGGCCCAGTGCCAGGTCAGCTACAAAGGGGAGTCCACTGGTGCAGTCCTCAGATGATTCCTGCATCCAGATTACATGAGGAAATACATCAGTAAGTGTTATGAAAGATGCAGATTCAAAGCATTTAAAATAAGATATCATAATGGAGACTCAAATCATCATCACAATAATAATGATACTTTTACTTTATATAGCGCTTAATACGTAATATCGTCTCTAAGCGCTTTACAAATATTATTACCCCAGTCATTAGATTCATTCACGCACAATGTGCACCATCTCCACTCCCTGGAGACTTGAACCATAATGCATACAGATCAATGCAGTTCACGGTATACCATCAATGATGAAGGAAAATTACTTTCACTTTAGAGAACATAAAAACAAAAACAACTTTGTGTCAAGTATTCATTCATTTTGGACAAGAGAGATCAGATAGAATATTTAATCAAAAAATAAAAATCAACACCAATCTGGGTATCCCACCTGTGCTTTGACGGTGCAACTGAACCCCCACAGGGCCTTGTCTGGTGTGTTGCGCTCACGACCACTCCTCCTCTCAATGTCAAATGTCACTTTATCCCCTTCAACCTTATGAATAAACCTTAAAACCTTAATACTGCACTCATCGTGGTACCCTACCTGAGCTCTGACGGTGCAACTGAACCCCCACAGGGCCTTGTCTGGTGTGTTGTGCTCACGACCACTTCTCATCTCAAAGTTAAATGTCACTGTATCCCCTTCAACCTATAAAATAGAAATATGGAAGAAGAAAAATTAATATTTACTGTGTCACACATCCAATGTATAATTAGACAAGTGTTTGACATATTTGTCAATATCTTTTTTCTTTTTTTTCCCTTTTTTTTTCCCTTTTTTTAAATTTTTTTTTTACTACAAAGCATTTCTTTTAGTGTGTAACAGTGTGAAGATCAAGTGCATAAATATTTCATAATGCTGACAAAACACATATGAGACGTTTCACGAAATGATCTGCATTTAAGAATTAAGATACAAAAAAGGGGAGACATAATTGCGAAATGATCAGCATTATAAAGATGTTACAAAAAAGGGGGATATAATTGCTTTCAAATTACATTTACCGTAATTAACGGTGTATTAACCGCACCTTTTTGCTGCCGAAAAAAATTAAAAGTCAGGGGTGCGGTTTATACACACGGTACACCAAAAAAAAAAGTTTTGATTTATGCCCCTCCACCTGGCGCTATGCCTGGCAATGTCTCCCAGCTCAGTAATCGGTGTGTTGACTCACCACTTGGAAACTAGAACAACACTCAAATTTGTCTGTCATCTTGGTTTGAAAGTAATCTTTCTGATAGATTTCAATATGTAGTTTATAATAATAATTCCTCCAATTTTTCTTCTATTACACGGCGTACCACAAGGCTCTATTCTAGGTCCTCTACTGTTTTTTAAGTCAGCAATTTTTTTTTTTTTTTTTTTTTTAGGGTGAAAAAGAGGGGTGTGGTTAATACACGAGGGCGGTTTATACAACGTTAATTACGGTATATAGAAAAATATCATACAGTTTTTTAAAATTTTATTTATTTGATTTGTTGATTTGTATTACCGTTATTTGTATTTTACTTTGGACAGATATTCATCCTTTGAAACCAATACCCTTTAGGAAATGCATTTTCCATGTATACAGATAAAAAAGAACAAATTATGCAACAACATGCGGGCCCCTTTCCTAAATTATCAATTTACCTCTGTGTAAAATCTAAATATTGGACTTTACTTGGCTGCGCTGTTCCCATTCTAATCATATTTTCTATATCACAAATACAAACACAGATATACATACACGTACATGCGCACGTGCACACACACACACACACACATTTAACTTCAAAGAAAATGAAAAAACATGTTTTTCTCTGAATTCCACATCCAGGGGACAGAAACTAAGAAATAGGTTCTCAACCCCTGGATTGACAGTTTCACACAAAAACAAAATAAATAATATACATGGAATTCACACTACCAAGAATGGAAATTCCACCGTGATGAATATAATTATAAAAAATGAGAAAAAGTGGTCAGTGAAAGTTTTAAAAAAAAATAGAGTAGAATTCCCCTTTAAAGATTATCATATGTATAAAGTCAACTGAGAGTAAAAATTATTCATAAAGACTTAAAGTATTACTGAATACCATAAGTATCTTGTGAAACGACTGTTTAATAGATGAAATCATTAATTAGGAATTAATAATCACTGTAAGTTTGGTTACTATTAGCCACCCACTCCTCCCACCCCCCCCCCAAAAAAAAAAAAAAAATGGTTAAAATGCAGAAATTAATCTGACCAATGTACACAACATCTCTGGTATGATTTTTTTTTGTGCGGTCAAAAAGAACTACCGGTACATGTATATACTTGGGTGAAAGTGACATGGCAGCATGAGCTTTAGAGGTGAGTATGTACATTATTTCATAGTCCCAAATAGCTAACAGTTGTAGAATTTGTGATGTAATTTTGTCTCGTCTTCGTAGCAAAAAGCGAGACATTAGGTGCCGCTTAGGTTAAGTTTTTGATTTTTTTTTAATTTAGTATAATTTTGAAAGTATAAGTTCTTATTAAATGAAACTTGAACTAAGGGGTTATCAAGTATCCCTAATCATGTCAGTAGAATTTTAAGTCACAAAGTCAAGGTCAGAGGTCATTTCAGGTCAACAAACTTAGACTATGTTGTGGCATCATCATCAAAGGTTAAGTTTTTGAATTTTTGATATAATTGTGAAAGTATTTAAGTTTTTATTCAATGAAACTTAGACTGAAGGATTATCAAGTATCCTCAAGCATGTGAGTAGACTATCAGGTCACTAAGGGTCAAAGGTCATTTCAGGTCAACAAACTTAGACTATGTTGAGGCATCAACATCAAAATGTAACCAAAGGTTGAGATTTCGAATTTTTATCATGGTTTTGAAAGTATAAATTCCTATTCCATGACACTTGAACATAGCCCTAGGGGGTATCAAGTATCACAACTCATATATGAAACAAATTCCAGGTCACAAAGTCAAGGTCAAATGTCATTTCAGGTCAGTAGACTTGGATTATGTTTTCACAACTTAAGATGAGAATTAATAAATCAATGTTCATATTCCATTAAAGTTCAAATTATAGTAAACAATTCTTCTGATGATTCTTAGTCAAGGATTTCATTGGGGGGGGGGGGGGCTGCTAATGGGCCACCCTGCCTATAAATAATGTCCCAACCTCAATTTCTCATCATATCGAATTTTGTAATGTTTCCCTTGTTATTTTATACAGAAATTTATCATCCCTTATATCAGGAATGGTTTTCTGTAGTAGCTTTTAGCGTGTTGGTAGAAAGGAAAGAGAAAAGAACCAGTTCCAGTATACATACAATCATCTACTATTGACTACTGTTAAAACTACAGACAAGGAAGGAAACTGCGATTACACCATAGGTCAAAAATAGTTTGGTAGAAATTTAATCTGCCTCACTTGGTAATACAAACAATGTACACTGTAGTAGCCAATTCATTTTGGAAAGAGTGTACTTACAATGTGGTACATTAATAGCTAAATTACAATACATGCAAGACATAAAGTTTGAGGAGACTTTGTATCATATGAAGTGCAAATGCTGTTCCATTTCGAAGCAGTGATCCTAATCAAAAGTGGATCATTATCAGCACCATTAATAGTCATATTAATTGCTTTGGGAAGCGCCCAAAATCCTGTCACAAGATTTCAATGATTTTGGGTAGTAGATTAAAGATAGTCACCACTCGAAATTGATGTGAGATTTTGTGGAGGTGTAGAGGTGTTGTGGTTTATAGTGGTTTGGTGACTTGACTCTCGATCTAAGGGTTAAGGGTTCAAATCCCAGCCTGACCCTAATGTCCTTTGGCAAAACATTAATGCACAATTGCCACTTTCCACCCAGATGTAAATGGGTATTTGATACGCCAGAGCACTACATTCTTGGCTGTCCGCTATGACTGGGGTAGTAAAGTGTCATGGCATGACAGACATGTGCGCTACATTTAGCATCCAACATGTTTTTTTCTCCTCCAGTTGTTTATCACATGAAAATCTGTTTGACACATGCTGTATAAAAAAAGAGAATAGCTGTGAGGTCAAAAATTTGTGCTAATAATAATAATAATATTAGGTGGTTCTTGTATAGCGCTCATGTGAGTCAGATTTGACCCTCCTGGCGCTCCCGATTATTACCCTGGCTTTAGCACTGATCACTGATGGATGAAATGCATAGAGCATTATCTTATTAAGACCCTATCCAATGAAAATACAACTTGATATAAATGGAAAACTGTAGAATGAATGTAGAATACAAATAAAAAGGAATAAAGATGTATGGAATTCTCTACCTAACAATATTTGAAATATATCACCAAACTCCTTTAAAAGAGCACTTAAATGTATTATTATTTCACAGAAGTAAGATATTACTTAATACATATACATATATATATATATATATGTATATATATATATATATATATAAATCAGTTCTCATTAGTTCTAACATAAATTTAATTCTCTTATAATCTATAAGACATTTTACTAGACTTAACAATATACTTTGTAAATATTGTACAGTAGTAGTTCACAACCCTTTAGGAATTTTATTTGTCACATATTATATATTTGAAAGGCGTTGTAACGATTCAAGCTCTATGCTTATACAATGTATGTTTCATAACCTCTGTGTGTTTATTCTTTAAACTGTATAACAGTTGCAACTTGTCTTTGATAAAACATTGTTATATTCTTTTTCATGTGAAATCAATTAAAATGGATTGTAAAATTAAAAATGATTTGTTATATTATTCTTTTTCATGTGATGTTAATAATTATAACAATAATAATAATCTTTTAAAGTCCACTCCAAATTTTATTAAACCGAACATGGAAATTCTTTTTGCCCAATTGATCGTGAGCCCGGCTCTATCCCTTATACCGTAGCAGTAACTCCCGTCTTTTAACGTCTTTTGGTATGAATTGTGAACATGCATAATAAAATTAATAAAATTATTGCACAAAAGCAAAGTAAAACCTCATTTTCCGCACCCCTCCAAATTACGGGTCAACAGGGGTCAAATTTGTTGAAGTTACAGTGACGACATAACATGTAGAGTTGTGGACCCCATACATGCAGGTTCACCTATGTAGCTGAAGCAATTCATGAGCCGTTCTTTATAATTAATGTAAAGCAATTGTGAATATGCGTACTCCACATAAGATGATGTCATCGAGTCGAGATGTCTACATTAAACTGTATAACCCGCAAAGTTCAATTACTAGAATTAGCAGGGATTTTTGTTGGCGGCCTTTCACTTTCCTACTGAGAAATTTTTGCCTCGATTCCATCATACTAATAACAGGAAAAATAAAGAATTTTGACAATGACTGCAATTTCTGTCGGCATGGTACTACTTAAAAAATGACTAGTTTCAAGGTAGGGCAAGATAAAATGCAATGAGCAGAATTCTGCCAGGAAATATGTAGAAATTGTGACGCAATGCCATAAAAGGTCTTTCCTGCCTTTATATAATTTCCTGAAGCACAATTTGAGCCAAAAAGATACCGGTAAGCAGAAACCCAAACCCACAGGAATTTCCCTTCGAAACCCACTTTTCCAAAAAAAGTTACGTACCAGTAAAATCACCCACTTCAACAGGATATCAATGAACTCATATACATGTAGTAGTCTGCCAATCTAAACC